TGGGCACGCGAGGGCTGGGTTGTGATACAGCGGATGCAGCGCTTATCCTGTCTGATGAGGGTCTGTTTGAGGCTTGCTGAGAGGCTGGCGAAGTAGGCGTACGAGGCGTAGGGTAGGTCAGGTAGGATAAGAGCTGTGTAGTAAAGGAGGGACTGCGCACGGGTGATGTCTGCTCTGATGTGGCGCAAGACTCGGAGTTTGTAGGACACCTTCTTCACTACAGCAGCCACTTGACCTGCCCAGCTCAAGCGCTCGTCCAGACAAATACCAAGGTATTTGGCTGTGCTGGTTTGAGCCAGAGGAGTGCCACGACATGTAACTTCAAGCTCTAGTCTGTTCCGCCTTCTGGCGGAGATGCCCAGAACCTGGGTTTTCTGCGCGTTGAGGATTTAACCCCTTGTCCGCCAGAAATGTTGCAACTCCGGACGCTGCAATGGAGAGGACACGGTTGATGGTAGCTACATCAGAACTGCTGGTGTAGATCATGATATCGTCCGCAAACATCAGAACCAGCGCTGGTGACGCACACTGCACTACGCTCCTTGTGTAAAGGGAGAAGAGTACCGGCCCCAAGACACTGCCCTGTGGAACACCGCACGTACAGCTAGTCGTATCAGAGACTTCCCCGTCGGCTAAGGCTACTGTCTGGTGTCTGCCACTGAGGTAGTCCACGAACCAATCGAGGGCAACTGAGCCGATACCAATGTCATGGAGCTCCTTCACCATCGCTTGGTGGTTAACCTTGTCAAAGGCCTTGCTCATGTCCACTAATACAAGGCCATAGTGCTGACTGTGGTCTGTGGCAGTTAGAAGGCTATCGACGGCAATGGTGATGGCGTCCTCCGTCGAGTGGTGAGGACGGAAGGCGAACTGGTTGTCGGGAAGTAGATGTTCCGCGTGGACAAACTGGCAGAGCCGCTTGAGGACAATCTTCTCCATGATCTTTGACACTACTGGGAGCAGCGAGATCGGCCTATAGTTCTTTGGGATAGATGGGTAACCGGATTTGAAAAGAGGACGTACATTTGCTAGCTTTTAAAAGAGAGCTGGGTACTCGCCCCTCAGCCATTGAGGCATTGATGAGGATGGTTAGAGAAGGAGCTAGAGCACGGGCGCAGTGTTTCAGTATGCTGCACCGAACTTCGTCAATGCCAGTTGCTTTCCAGTCGTCAATAGCCTGCAGAAGATTAAACACCTCTTCACAGGTGGCGGGCTCGAATTGAGTGAGTGACCTTTCCAGGTGTGGACCAGCGGGTGGCACAAGGCGAGCTGGCCGAGTGGGATCTGTCATGACATCTCCGAATTGCTGACTCAAGCTGCCAATAGGTGGCAACGGTGGTGTGTCCTTCTTCTTCCTACCACTAAGGTCGTTAATCACTTGCCAAGTCTTTCGCGGATTCGACCTGCAGGATTTCAGCAGTTGATGGTAATGGTTGGCCTTCAACTCTCTCTTGAGAGTTTCTTTGCGCTCGAACAGCTAGTGAAAACTCCTGATAGAGCTGTTGATCTAATGGACTGATTCGCCACCGGCGATGTGCTCGATCCCGAGAGCGGATAGCGGAGTAGTATGCGGGAGTCTTCCATGGTGTCAATATTTGGTGACTATTCTTGACGTGGCACTTTCGCACAGGTGCAAAGCGATCAAGAGTGAGGAGGAGCCGTTGAAACCACTGCTCCCACATTCTCTCAAGTGTCATTGCTGTGGAGAAGTCCTCAAGTCGGGAGCTGGCGAGGGCTTGGGAAATTTCGTGCATGTTCGACTTCCTGAAGTCGCGGTCGATTCGTATAGTGGGACGGTCTGCCGCTGCCATTGCTGCGAGAGGGACAGTCGCTAGAACTGGGAAATGATCACTGATACGCATTGGAATAACAGTGCATGACGTAATGATGCCATCTTCTGCCAGAACCAGATCAAGAGATGTGTGTGATCCGTTTGTTCGTATGCGAGTAACGTTGTGAACCATGCTGCTAAGACAGTGACTGTGGCAGAAGTGCTCGAGGTGCGGGAGCTGTGCGGAGTCGCGCGACACGAGATATTAACATTGAAGTCACCCACAAGGACCATGGGGACGTGTCGACTAGTTGTAAGTGAGTCCTCAACTGCCTTGTCAAGGTCTTCCCAGAAGGAAACAGGGGCACTGGGAGGTCGATACACTGTTCCAAATCGAACACTCTTGTGACGACCCTTTACTTTGATAAACAAGAGCTCAAGGCTATGGTTGGTGGGGGCCTCTTCTCAGCTTGCGCATAGAGTACTTTGCACATACGCAGCAACGCCTCCACCATGACCAGGTCTGTCCTTGGGGTGCAGCGTGAAGTCAGGTATGCTAAGGATTGAGTCTGGTATAGCGGCGGTCAGGAAGGTTTCCGCTAGGAATACAATATCTAGGTCCTGCAAGGTAATGAGATCAACAATGTCATCAATTTTATGAACTAGATGATTTACATTTAAAGGGTAACTGTCACCAAAAATTTCTTCGTCTTATCTTGTAGCTCTTTGGCTCCTGATCACGATTGTGTTATTCGTTTTTCTCTGCGATGACTGGAAGTGGGTGAAAACTTGAAAAGAAGGTGCCCAAAATTGTCCCGAAGTACCGAGTGACGTCCCGCCGGACTTGACCTCCACGCGTACTTTCATCGTCAAAAACGAAGTCCAGCCCGTGTGCTCGTCGATCGAGCCAACTGTTCGATGTACGGTGCACGCTTGCCTTCTGAACTCGGACACTCGATGTGTACTTTGTAAACAATGAGAACGCCAAAAAGGGACAAAATAAACAAAAGTCGACTGCAGTTTGTCGCACTGGTACTTCCTCCACGAAGCTCCAGCCCTTTGTTTTATTTGTGATTACGAAGGAGTGGAAGGATGTTTGTTTGCTGTTAGTGTGACACACATACCTCGTACTTGAAAATGATGTCGTTGTATCGAAGGTGGCGATGTTGCCCACCCGGCTCTGAAATGAAAGACATCAGAGTTCGTCATCTGCATCTTGAGCAACATCGCCAGATGAATCGCCTTCACGTAACTACATTGCGTTCCTTTGGGGCTCGGGTTGGTGGTGTTATCGCCGGCCGGAGGAGTACTGTTTTCTGCATACGCACTCATCATCGTGTTGTTCCTCACACGAAAAGTTCAAAACAACGACGTACTTCCGTGCTCACAAAATAAAACTTAGATCCTCGCGGAAGAAGTCAAAAAGGTGAAAGCTCAGCTGCTTTTTATTTTGATTTGGCTGTGTAGCTGCACGTGGGTCTCTGCCTCTTTGGCATTCTCCTTCGGTACGACGTACCCATCCGTGTTACAGTTCAAAAGGCACACGTGCACCGTACATTGGAACAGCTAGCTCGATCGACGAGCACACGGGCTGGATTTCGTTTTTGACGACGAATGTACGCGTGGAGGTCAAGTCCGGCGTGACGTCACTCGGTACTTCGGGACAATTTTGGGCACCTTCTTTTCAAGTTTTCACCCACTTCCAGCCATCGCAGAGAAAAACGGATAACACCATCGTGATCAGGAGCCAAAGAACTACAAGATAAGACAAAGAAATTTTTTGGTGACAGTTCCCCTTTAAGAATATGGTTCTAATCTCCTGGCACTTGGCCGGAGGTGTGCTGGGAATGAAGTTTGGATTGAAGGGCGTGGCGTTGGGGTTAAGTTGAGGTGTTGGTTTTGGTGGACTGAATGGGTAAGCGCATGGGTTAAGCTCATTGTCCGTGTTTAACTATGACTGAGACTTACAAGCACATGGTGATCTTGCGGTCTAGCGAACTACTGCGACTGCGTGCTGCAATCCTTGCCGTCAGTTGGCGCTGCTCAAGCGCTGCAGCCTCATTGGCCCACTGGACCTGTAGGTCGGGTTGCTTGGGCATTGCAGGTGTTGTACGAAATGTGTGTTTGCCAACTGCCAGAACAAACGCACCAGGTGGTGTGTCAGGAGACTGGTGACTGGTCTTTCCACGGACTGGTGGGTATTCTAACGAGTTTCTCGGCACTATCTATAGACAAAAAGGTCACGATACATGAGCGGTTTCTACTTAGCTGCACAGCTTGGAGGTCAGCATAACCGAGATCCTCCACGGTGTCCGCAATATTGACGGTTTGGGCGCCAGGCGGCAATGGAATTTGGCAGATGTCTCCCGCAACTGCTGTGAGGAGAGACTCCTCCACGCCGGCACGGAGCCTCCAGCACCATCCATGTCCTCGGGGCAATATGATACAAGGTAACAATCTACTAGACACTATAAACTACAGGCACCCTGAAGGGTTGCTCCGAGCTCCAAAATGTGCATCCACACTCCAGAGTTTTTTTTTCATCTGTTGAAGGAGGCATAGCATCTTTCGAGACAGCATGGGCCACCAGGGTGAGTCTGTCCCTCCAGAAAATCACGATTCCACGGATGCAAAAAAATCGCGATTTTCAGCAAAATCCGCGATTTCCCGCGTTTTTTGTTGTTTTCTGCACTATATCTCACATTTTCATGCACTTTTCACGCAGTGATTTCCATGATCCTGTAGTTTTTTTGCACAGTACGACTCGTACTACTCCCGATCCGAGTAGATACGATGCAACAAATTTCGTGATTTGGCCCAAATCTGCAATTTTCTTCGCATTTTTTGTTGTTTCTGCTGCGATTTCTTGCGCAAGTTTTCGAGAGTTTTTTCCCGCAAATTCCCGCAGGGACAGATGAGTGGTGCGTGGAGCGAGAGTTGGGCTTCGCTTCTCGGCCATCTCCCCCCCCCCCCCCCCCCCCCCAATGCATGCATCCTCGCATATACATAATATAAGGGCGTAGCTGGTTCCCCTTTTAGGGGGGGGGGGGGGTGCACGGCCACATAAATAATGTTCAGGATGACTGGTGCATGCATGTCATACATGGTCATTATGTGCATGCTGAAGCTACGTCGAATTTCTATTTGGGGGGGGGGGGGGGCATGCGGGCTACGTGCATGTACATGATGTATGACATAGGCTGTGTCACATACGTGTACATATATGGTGTCATGAGGGCAAACTGAATTTGAAAAATATCATTATAAAAATTGTATCAAGCTTATTGTGCCTTTTGTCACAGGGCCGGTTATGCAATGCCAAGGAAAACCAGGTGCAGAAAAAGGAAGAGATGAGCAGATATTACACAAACATGTGAGATGAAGATATCAAGCTTAGAAGGAAACAGTAAATGACCGTGCCCGTTCCCGACGGAACTCATGACGGCCGCTAACACCCAGTCAATCCAGGTTAGAACAGCGATAGAAATAATTCACGTAATAATACAAGTAATAATACTAAGTGTCACCGTCATCACCATTAGGCATAATTATGCGGATAATGCCGGCAGAAAAATTGGCAGAATTCGGTACTTTTTCTGGTAAGTTTCATGCATGTTTGGTATGTGGATAAAGAAATGGAGCAGAATTCGAGGAATTGCCCGCCATAAGGTTTGTATGGTTCTGCCAATTTCACTGCTTTTCGAGCAGAATCTGCCACCTTTTCGAGCATTATCCGCCAATGCCTAATCACCATACATCATCAACATCTCACTGATAGGTTTAGCCAGAATCTATTTCCTTCTGGCTAGTATTATTTAGTGGTATTTTAACTCTCAATGAGCGAAACAGCTGTCTGGAGGATAGGGAGCATCTATCCAAGAACGGAACTAACTTCCTGGCTATGGAGTATGGTGTGGTGACTGTGGGCCAAAATCAAGAGTGCAGTGTGGAGAGGTGGACAGTTCAAGTTATTCTAAGAGTAAGAGGAGAATCAGGAGATAATATTATAAAGTGTTGCTCAATGAAATCCAGTCGCATCACTCAGGTACGCGCCGGGCGTTGCGCGGCCCCAGACCGGCGAACACTGGGCTGCGAAACGATGCAAGGCGCAAACTGAAGTGACGCGACCGGATTTCATTGAGTAACACTGTATGAGTGTGCTTGGCAGTGTGGGCCACGCAGGATCACCTCCGCTTCCGGACAACTTGCAGCGCAGTGATAATGTGGGCCACGTAGGATCACCTCCGCTTCCGGACAACTTGCAGCGCAGTGATAATGTGGGCCACGCAGGATCACCTCCGCTTCCGGACAACTTGCAGCGCAGTGATATTGTGGGCCACGCAGGATCACCTCCGCTTCCGGACCACTTGCAGCGCAGTGATAATGTGGGCCACGCAGGATCACCTCCGCTTCCGGACCACTTGCAGCGCAGTGATAATGTGGGCCACGCAGGATCACCTCCGCTGCCCGACCACTTGCAGCGCAGTGATAATGGATGCCATCATTGACAGGATGACGACTGCATGACTCGAAGCACAAGTAGAGTGATTGCTGACTTCAAACACCTGAAGCTGTGGTAGGGACATGACACATCAAATTTCAAAAGACAAAAAACACACGCACAGTAAAGGGGAAGTTCACCCTACAATCAAGACTTCAACTAGCACTGAAGAATGCCCTGATACCGATGGTGACAGTCTCGGGTTGGTTAGGGCTCCCGTTTCGGATTTACCATGGTCACAGCAGATGGAAGTAATAAGTTTCACTAAAATCAGTGACATCATGATGACGTCATAATTTGTCCAGAACAGGCCAGATCTATGAGATCACAGATATGAACTTTGTATACGGGAGTGGCTGGGTTAGTATGGCCAAAACAATCTGTGGGAAAGTTGTTGATGTTAGGGTGAACTTCCCCTTGAACTGTTCACAGGCAGTTTTTCGATAGACAGTGTACAGTTTCAGAGCTATAGAGCATTGGAATGCATCGCGCGTGTCATTATATTTGCACACCATCGCCCTTCCCGGTCCCGCACCACACTGTTTTGTTTGCATCGTCATGCTTGGAAGTGCTTGCTTCTCACTCCGCGTGCACGTTGGGTTGTTTGTGGCATGCGTTTTCTCCTTACACTGATCCTGTTTGCATGTCTTTGTACGTTAAGTACGCATGTACAGGTGGAATACTGATAATTCCAATAGGGCTTAATAGGAACATACCACTTAATTGGGAGTTTCATTCAGGACCTATTTCTATCAATAAAACTCCCATATAACAATGCCTGATAATTCGAACCTCGAAATGGGTGTGTCCGCGGTTAAGTAGAAGTTCCACTGAATCCACTTACTGTACACATACTCCTTACTGCTGCGTGGCTATTGCCGCCCCAACCGCTTTTTGCTCCTGTTCTTGCAGTACAGTCAGACCTCGCTTAACCGCACACATCCGTTTTCCACAAAAAAATATCCGGATAGGCGAGGGAACCGGATAATCGAACACACATGCTGTATGTATGCATGACATACGCTGCAGATCGGTAACCAACGATTTTCTTCCGGACGGTGAGGGGTCCGGATAATACAGGACCGGATAAGCGAGGTCTGACTGTATTCAGTTTGCTACTCCACGCAGCACTTTAATCTGTATAAATGCAGCATTTTGCAACGATGTGTCGCTCGCCTTCACCATGGTCTTCCTCTTTCCGTCAAAGCACTTGGTCTGTACAACGTGACATCTTTTAGATCGGTGTCAGAGGAGTGCGATTCAAGAGAGACCAGCCGGCCTGCTTTAGTCCATTCGCCAAATCTGGGCTCCTGATATATGTGTCCGAAACTATACTGTTTGCATCTTCATCAATTTTCACCATATTTACTTCATCTTAGGCTTAAAACAACGGCTATCATGTTTCTAACCTATATACGTCGTCGACATCACGATCTTGAACAAGAACGAAATGAAACTGTGAATAACCTATGGACCCCGGTTTGCGTAATGCACTTTAGAAACAAATTTTTACGTGCAAAACGAACCCGGTGGCGAATGATCACTCACTTCAGACAATGCAGAATTCCTCGATGGTCTTCGCCACTCCACTGCCAATCTCACGTTTCACAGCTTGATGCAGGTCCTTGCCGCTCATCACCTCGTAATGATCGCACCACAATTCTGTCACTGCGTCGAACAACTCAAACGGGCTAGTTGACGGATGGGCTTTGTTAATGATTGCCTGCAGGTTGCGAGAATCAATGGCACATGAAAACCCGACTTGAGATGAGTTAAGAAGCACCCATAATCAAGACTATGCAACTGTGGCTACTCGGTGTGAGCCAGTGTGCGACGCACTGCCTTTGCCACGCACTGCCTTTGCCACGCACTGCCTTTGCCACGCACTGCCTTTGCCACGCACTGCCTTTGCCACGCACTGCCTTTGCCACGCACTGCCTTTGCCACGCACTGGAAGTGTAAGTAAACATATATTCGGGGCATAGCTGTATTCAGCTATTTTCAGCCTGGGCATTTTTGGCCGAAAATTTGTTCCAGCCGATATTTTGCCTTGCAAGGTTCAGTGTGACAGTGTATACAGGCAGCAGCAGTACAGGCTGAAATTTTCATGTGCACGAAATGTGTTTTAACCCAGGGAGGCCGAAATGTATACACGTTGAAAATGTGTAGACTTACAGTGGTTTGACAACACCATGCCCTGTGCTCATGCAGTCAAACAGCTACCGGTGATCTCTCGCACCAGCATTTCGTCTCTGCAGCCTCGCTCACACACACAGTTAGCGGGCTCATCCCGTATCCTACCTGCATCTTGTGCAGCCCACTCACTGCAAAACTGCAGCACTATCTGCCTTCGCGGCAGGCAATCATGAATCACAACAGCTCCAGTGAGCTTCTCAGATTAAGGATACCACAACACCTGGAGAGCAGCTATTGACGGTCCTCACACCCTGATGTGACCGGAGTTGTTTCTGCGTTGCTGCTGTTCGAATACATAAGTTATGTGAGTGTTATCGATATGTATAATGTTTCATCAACCCTTGAAATCAACACACTGACATAATCGAAAAGAGAACACACCGCTTTCGGACCGTCCGGGAAAACCGCCGCCAAAAGATACAGTCCAACAGCATACACACGTTGGGGGGTCTCGGCCACAACATTACGGATGCGTTTCAGCCTCTCCCCTCGCTCACGGATGCGGATCGCCTTGAAGTCCACCCACTTCCGAAGTGCTGTGAAGATAGTACAAAAGCAAACGAAAACAAAACACACTTCACACACACACAGGCATTCACTCAAGCTGCTCTTCTGTACTATTATGTCAATGTACACATATATGCCCCCCCCCCCCCACACACACACATTACCACCACGTGCGCACACAGACACACACACACACACACACACACTCCTTGGACCTTGGACCTTGGACGCGCTGCCATATTCTGGCTATGCGGACCCCATGGGGGGTTGAGCAGGTTCGGAACAGTAGGGGCGATGACTGTTCCGAACACACACTCACACACACACACACACACACACACACACACACACACACACACACACACACACACACACACACACACACACACACACACACACGCACACACACATGCACACATGCACACATACATACGCACGCATGCACAAAGACACACACACACACACACACACACACACACACAAGCACACAAGCACACACGTACACACACGAACGCGCACGCATGCGCGCACACACACACACTATTTGACCATTTGACGCCCATCGCCAGAGGCGATGATAGCGATGATATAGCAGAAGCCATAGCAACTTGTGCTGGGACACACACACACACATACCGCCACACGTTCATTACACGTATCTGTGTTGCGTTTTCGCTGCTTAAACTTATCTATTGGGATTGCCTCGCTGCTTTTAGAACTAAAGCCCGATGAGGCTGATATTCCAATCAAGTACAGGGATGAATTTATTCAGTATCGCATCGCAGTGTGCTGTGCAATATCGATCTACTGCTACTAATAAGTCAACGTGCCTCGCAGAAAACTGCGATACATACCGTAAAATCTCGCCAGAGCGCCCCGTCTCTCCCATCCACCCCTCCCTGACTTCGTGTCAGGGACGTGATTGATTGTATCCTCGCATGGCTCTGTCACAGTCTGTGATGCCGTACTGTACTGCAGACGCATGCTCGACCCCGTTGGAAATGTATGCAACAGTGCCCACCCTCTTGACCAGGGATCGCAGAAACCCTGAGTTTTGACGGGTCTGTACGACTCCTGGCTCTGGACCTTTGGTCGGTGTACGAGATGCACGAACAGTTTTCGTAGGGTGAGTACTTTTCATGTAGTACTGAATGCGGCAAGTAGGACTCGCCGATCCGCACCTCCCCACCTGAACCTACTCGAAACGTCGAGGAGATAGGGGCGCTCTGGCGGGATTTTACGGTATAACTATATACTTATTATTATTATTATTATTATTATTTGTGCTCCCGCGTCAATGGGCTCGCCCAAATTCGCTTGCACCGAACCATGCGAAAAAAGGCCGCCAGCAGGCAGGCAGGCTAAGAAAAATAGAAAATGGTGTCACATAAACTAATACAAACAAGAATATCATTATTTGTAAGAAAGGGTTTGCTCCCCACACCGGAGCTCGCGCTATTCCGCCGACTTTACTTGACACTTGACCGACTCACGACTGCCATCCAGAGCACACGAGAAGTCAATCGAACCTTCGACTCGGCAAACCTGCAAGAAAGCACCACTCCCTGCTCAATACACAGTGTTTCGGGGAATTCACCCCTCATCAGTTGCGCTTGAGTAGGCTGAGGAAGATTGTGCCTGAAGAGCATTCCCCGAAACACTGTGTATTGAGCAGGGAGTGGTGCTTTCTTGCAGGTTTGCCGAGTCGAAGGTTCGATGGACTTCTCGTGTGCTCTGGATGGCAGTCGTGAGTCAGTCAAGTGTCAAGTAAAGTCGGCGGAATAGCGCGAGCTCCGGTGTGGGGAGCAAACCCTTTCTTACAAATCATCGCCGAAGTCGCAACCACTACTTAATATCATTATTGATGACATTAATATACTGAATGAATGGCAAAGGCCATGTGAATACGGATAATACGGATAATCAGAGTACCAACAACAAAGAATGTAGCTCAAACCATTGCAGTGCCAACCTCCTTCACCAGTACTCTGCCTTGTACGCATCTGTAACTGCGTTGCACAGATATGTCCATTCACGGCGATCCAGTGCTCGCTGAGCCATCAGCTGCAAAACCCTTGGAGTCCTCAGACGGCAGCCGACTCGCTCCGCGTCTTGAATCAGCAGGACTGGTAGCGTGATCCGCGGCCGCCCACGGTATCCCGGCACGGAGCAGCCAAAGAATCCACTCATGGCCTCCCTAGCCGGTGTGTGCTCATCTGATCGCAGGATGTGGCCAAACAACCGCCATCTTGCATTCACCAGAATGTTGCCAAGTGGAGCAGCACTGCAGCGCTCGTAAACCAAATCGTTTGACTTATACCTACCTTAATATACCCCCCCCCCCCATTTATTACACAGAGCCTCGGCCAGTGTATATTCACTGTTTTTCTAGAAAAAATATATACTGGAAATATGCACCATGGGGGGGGGGGGCTCCTTTTTAGGATTCAGACTGAGGTAGATATAAGTCGGATATACCCTTCGCTGGAGTGTATATGGAAAATATACACCATCAAACAAACCGCGGCCTTCTGCCGCGGTTTGTATTTGGTGTATATTTTCCATATACACTCCAGCTCGGGGTATATCCTATAAATATACAGGCTTTCCGTGCCTAGCCTGTGACGTTGTTGTTGTTACTATATTTTACTTCACCAGAATTACGATGTCAAGTAACATGCATCCAGTGCAGTGCTATCTTTATGTACAAACAAGTTAGGCTTGCACAAACGCTGATAAATGGCTTCCATAACTTTTAACTGTAGTCGAGAACCATGACGACCACGGCACAATACAGCGAAGCAAGAGTCGGAATACGAACTGCAACAATCAGGACTAGCTAGCAGTTGATCGTACGTTGAAGATGTTCTACTACAAAACCGTCAGGCGAAATAGCACGTCATAGTACATTCGAGATCAGCGGGAAGAAGATGACGACGTCCACTAATTTAGTATCTGTGCACACGAATCTGCTGTGTGTGTTACTCTGTGTGTCAGCTATGGCATCATCGCCTGTGGTTCCATGCCTAGCATGTACGTCTGAACCATCCTGCGAAGTTTGAATGACGTAGGTTGAGCGATCGCTCCGCGAAACATACTTTTTGAAATTCTCTTCATAGTATATCTTCCACCATTGAAATTTCGAATTTCTTCGAATTTTTTGCTGAGAGGAGTGGCTTGCAACCTCGATATGGCTTGTTCCAGGCATGCTTTGGAACCATCGCCTGTTGAAACAGTGGCGGGAAGCTGCCCTGCAACTGTTCCAACAGGAAATTAATCGATCCGAGAAAGCGCGAGTCCGCGAATCTTGGTTGAATATTGAGTATTTCAAGCCTTTTCACGACGAAGATGGAGTTCTTTTGGAGATGGACATCGCGGCAAAGGACATGGTGTCCGACTTCTGGCGTCTGGTGAAGCCAGGGATCATTTGTCCAGTCAGGTCGGCAGCCTAACCGTCGGTAAGCTTGTGTTTGGATCCCGTTCTGCTCGATGTGGTAGATCAAAAACAATTTGATATCTCACAAATTGATCTCAGCATCGTGCGTACGGTATTTTATATTCAGAAAATCCCAAAGTGTCTCTGTGTGGCCGTCCTATGGCACGAGAAACTCCAATCAGGCTCCTATGTCCTCTGCCTTCATGATTGAATTTCCACTTCGTTTGAACAACGAACACAACAATCGAGGACGGCTTTGCAATGCAGCTATACTGGAGCTGAAAAAAGAAGAAAAAACGTGCTCAGGATGAGACTCGAGTACACGCATACTCTCCAAGCAGGTAAAACGCAAATTTTTGTGAAAAATGCGTGTCGCCGACTGACCAGTAATTTCGCCTGACGCTGCGCACAACACCAACACCAACACCCTCACTGGCACTCTCACCACCACTCTCCTCATCGCTCACGGGATCCACTACCATCATTTGAATCTTGTTTCCATGGCAGCTGGTAGCGCAAAAATGATCCATAATGGAAAATACGCGTTCTGCAGACTGAGTAGAAATTTGCCGTGTCGAATCGCATATCTCAACAACTGTTAGTTGTATCGCTTCGGCGATTGTTTCTATCGCCAGCTGAGAGTTTTCTCTTGCAGATACATGTTTCGATTGTGAGAATCAACCAAGTCATATAATAGAGTGAGTTACGATAGTTTGAACAAGTCACTATGGACTCAACACGGACCACATGACAAGGAGATGCAGGTTCACTGTACAGTATACAGCGCGTGTCGTACTAGTACGAAGGTCGTGGGGCATGCAACTCATGTGCGTCGTACTAGTATGACGCTCACACTGAAGGGGTAAAGAAACAAGAAAGGCTTTTCTGAAGGACCACAAGTTCATCAATACATGCACCAAACCGGCCTCCGATAATTCCCATGCGGCGATACGCACCATTTCTCTTCATTATGGTCTCAGCAACAGTGCCAAATGTGGCGTTTGAGATTTTATAACACAATGTAACTATTGTCACTCGTGTACACCGGTTCGCAACAGTGACACAAGGGCCAATAGACACAGTACACGCAACACAACCAAAAAACAATGGTATTGAAACTCACCACCAAGAATCTCAGGCAGTGCATTCAAGCATGCTCCGTCTTCATCGAAGACGAGCTTTGTCGCTGCTATCACTGCATGCTCAACGTCCGGTTGGTCAGCCACAGCGACAGACAGCTCATCTTGGCGCAAGGATGGAAACCTCTTGGAGAACTCGTCAACCACGCACTTCTGGTCCTCGGGAGTGATACCTGAACAAGAAAGCAAAGCATTTCGGATCTTTTGCTCCAGAGATACATTGAAGCATATTAAGGAAGCCATTTGGTTGTGAACACTACTTCAGACTATCAAGAGAGTCTCCGAAAAAACATGTGTATTGCAGTCTACTTCGTTAATAACGACTGCGGATACAACGACAATTTGCAAATGAAGACAGAATTTCCATGCCCAGAGCAAAGTCCCATCAAACTGTATACATTTAACTTTGGCTGTAACGACTATCTGAATAACGACAATTCGCGAATAGCGACATGCTTTTAGTGCCCCCAGGTCATATTCACTGCTTGAATAACGACTTTCTGGGCTTCTGACAGCTATTTCAAGTACCTGTCATGCAGAAGTACCAGAACCCATGGCGATGGATAAAGGCTCACATGCAAGAAGATGCAGCCAAAGGGGGGCTTCTTTCTTTCTTTATCATTAATTTTTGCTTGAAAATAGTTGGACTGATTAGTGTAGCGAATCCCACCGCTGGCACCAATTCTGTAGCGGGCCGCAGTCTCTCTCGGAGGCAAATGCAGACGGGTCTCAGTGAACACACTGTTGTTAACTTTATTATTACTAAAGACTGGATTGAAGGTTGAACTCTAACTCTAAACTGACATTACTGAAGGTTCTAACTGGTATCTCTAACTGGCATTTCTAACTGGCATTTCTAACTGGCCTTTCTAACTGTAGTTTCTAACTGAACTGTAGAGAATTGTGAACAGCAGCTTTTATAGGCAGACAGCATACGTGCTGCAACAGCAATGGTCACGGCAAAGCTCAGCAGAGAGAAGAAGAAAGGTCAAAGTAGATGTGTGGGCTACAGTCATTGCACAAGGAATGCCATTTGATTCTATGCAGAAGGAGCTGAATAGCAGTATGGGCAATGGGTGTAAAGAGGTGGTTGAAAGTGCAGCAAAAGGTCTAGACTAGTATTTCTAAGGTCAATATGAAACATTGAACGCGGTGAGACTAGTTGATATCCATGTCATGGATCTGCAAGCACGGTACAGAGTTGCAAGTGCGGGGTACGGGTGCGGTGTAACACGCGTGACCAATACATTGAAAGTGATTCACGCTGCACCTGTGTGAGTTACTAGCGAGCCAACGCTACACCTTCCTTCTTTAAACACAATCACGTCCTCGTGATTAGAGTCCGAGTAGCAGAACACGAAGTGACGAACACTGATAGAAGATCATGGAGATGCGCAGACTAGACTGGGCGAGTAAGATTAGTTGATAGCCGGACTCCGACAATCGACTGAGATTAGAAGACTTTGGCGGCATATGCATGGTCGCGCCGGAATAACCTTGACGGAAGAAGATAGGCAGAATGGATTACTTGCATATACAGGTATGTATTTGTGAACAGCCTCGGTTGATATCCGGACGCAATGAGGACAACTGACATTGAAGTACTGGCTGGAGCGCAGCAGCAGATCACAGGACTGAGAGGTGGTGCGAACATAATCATTGAACATTATAGGAGATAGTGCATCATACTGGTACAGCGTCAACCGGAATATGGCAAAATAATATCGGAAATGATAACGTTTGGAGTAGACAGAAGAAATGAACTGATAAAATCATAAAGTAGCAGCACACCAGGCTCACACGATCTCACGGGGTCAAAAAGGGAAAGAACCGTCCTCCAAATGGGACTTGAAAACCACAGCACTCTTGCTGCACAACCCTGGCAAAAAGGGAAAGAACCTCCGTCCTCCAAATAGGACTGAATACCCACAGCTCACTTGCTGCACAACCCTGGCACAACCTGCCAGCACAATCGCAGTTCAAAACCGAACTGAATACATTATAAGGGGGATTGTCACACACATCGTCCCAGGTTAGCTAGATAGACCGTGGCTCACCATGATCGGACGCCTACCTAACTAAACTGGATTCACACACTCGCATAAAGGAAGACTGAAGAGAACAGGAAGACTGAAGGAAGACAGGAAAGAAAATGCCATATCGGGAATTACCTTACATTGGACATGGAGCTTGATCGGTAGAGACGCTGTCCGTCATCATTTCGGGCTGGGGGGAGACATGGCGGGCGAAGGAGTAGCGGCGACTGACGCATCAGGTTGGGCCATGCTGGTACCGGTTACACCAATAAAACAATTTACCACTGCCATCAATTCTGTAGCGTCGCTGCCATCAATGCAATACAGATACTAGGTGGGTTCGAATCTAGCAATTATAAAATTGAACCACCGCTGCCACCAATTCTGTAACGGGCCGCAGTCTCTCTCGGAGGCAAATGCAGACGGGTCTCAGTGAACACACTGCTTTAAAATTATTACTGAACTAAACGGAAGACTACATTGTAAACATTAACTCTGACTCTAACTCTAAACTGACATTACTGAAGGTTCTAACTGGTATCTCTAACTGGCATTTCTAACTGGCCTTTCTAACTGTAGTTTCTAACTGAACTGTAGAGAATTGTGAACAGCAGCGTTTATAGGCAGACAGCATACGTGCTGCAACAGCAATGGTCACGGCAAAGCTCAGCAGAGAGAAGAAGAAAGGTCAAAGTAGATGTGTGGGCTACAGTCATTGCACAAGGAATGCCATTTGATTCTATGCAGAAGGAGCTGAATAGCAGTATGGGCAATGGGTGTAAAGAGGTGGTTGAAAGTGCAGCAAAAGGTCTAGACTAGTATTTCTAAGGTCAATATGAAACATTGAACGCGGTGAGACTAGTTGATATCCATGTCATGGATCTGCAAGCACGGTACAGAGTTGCAAGTGCGGGGTACGGGTGCGGTGGAACACGCGTGACCAATACATTGAAAGTGATTCACGCTGCAGCTGTGTGAGTTACTAGCTTGCGCCAACGCTACAATTAGCACAACTACATGTAGTTGCACCTGATTGTACACTTATCATCATACATGTACTGCACATGTCCCAAGCCATGTAGATGTCTCCAAAAGGCTCATTCTTCAATTTATTTCCCTTGTACATCGACTTCATACAGTGGAGATTGGATGTAACGACATTCCTTCAGGAGAAAACAAAAATTTGTCGCTATATTCAATCTGTCACCAAACACGATCTTTACATTTAGTATGCAATATGTACATGTATATCAAAAATTACAGAAATGTATTGCATGTGCATAAAAATAATGCATATGGATTTCAGATGCGTATGTGCATGTGTCTTGCATGCATAGTTCCAGCCAAAAGTCATGCATAGCAACTACATCACTGCGGCTACAATGTGCAGTGAACAGCACGCGTGGAGTGACCCAGAGGTCTGGCCATATGAAACAGACATGTCCCATGCATGCTACTCCACCTGATACAAGAGGAAAGTCGTTACATTCGATGCATTTTCAGGTCTCCGGGCACCAAATAAATGTCAGTAAATTTGATCTGTCGATATTTTCGAGGTCGTTATACCCGATCTATAATGTATAGAAAGGACTTGCTAAACGACTTGGGCAACAGAAATTTGTGGCTAACCTCGATTTGTCGTTTACCAAGGTCGTTATATCCAATCTCCACCGTAATTCCTTTCAATTGCAATATGAAAATACAGTACAAACTGACATAGAACATGAGAAAAGCTTCATTTTGATATGCATGTCATACTATAGCCCCGCCAAGTGTCGTTATTCGCAAAGTTGACTCTATATAAATTATTATCGAAGGAAACATGCCTGCAAAAATCGCTTTCTCACAGGACAGCCTGTCGCCCATTGACTAGTGATGATTTCCGTATCATGGAACTAACGCGTTAAAGGGGAAGTTAAGCGTAATATCAAATTTTCACCAGATGTAGTCTTCGAGGTGCTGAGTCGAATGATCTTGGTCCGAGGAAGCTGAGACGCACCCTTCCTCCTTTATTCCCAATCAAACTCACGCACTTCCACCGAAACTGGGTGACTGCGCCCTACTAGATGGGGATTTGCATACAAAATGTCACTAAAAGCACCATTTCGTTCTTTTAAAATCACAGATGACCGCGATTGGCCCATATGTTGTAGTCTTTTGCACGCTGAGTGGACTGCTGTTGGTCCGAAAAGGCTGCAATGCAGCGTTCGGCCCTTATGGTAAATCGAACATAGCCGAACAAGCGGTCACGTGCTCCTGCGTACACCAGTCACCTGGTCATCGCGCCAGCAGGCGACAATTTTCACCCCAAGGTTCAACTCAAAGGTTCAAAGGTTCAACTCGAGTGACAGAAACTTGCTCAAACATGCTGTAAGTTGTAGCCTCCAGGCACAGTGACCAGGTGACTGGTGTACGCGTACGAGCACGTGACCGCTTGTTCAGCCATGTTCGATAGGGAATAAGGGCCAAAAGCTACATCGCAGCCTTTTCGGACCAGTGTATCCTGCTGTACCAATCCGTCTTACCTTCGTCACTGCATGCTGTGGGGCAGAAATTGAGAACTACCGCTCCGTCCACAGTAGAGACTTCGAGAATGTGCTGACCAGCGAGCAGGCTAGATCGGTCCTTACAGAACTCCCAGAGCCTTGCATGAGCCTTGGCAGACATCTGTACAAACACCGCCGTGCCTCCGCTCTCCCCGTGTACGCTGTCGGCGTGGATACTCTCATCACCAAGGAGAGCGCGGAGGTTGCGTACGACTCTGTCAACGAAGCTTGGGCGGCCTTTGTGATTGTACTCAAAGTCAATGATGATCTTCACTATAGACGACCTCTCGTCTGAATAATTACAGTGAATATGCATGCACACAGGCATGTTCACACATGTACATATCCATCGAGTCAGAGACTGAACAAAGGAGAAAATGGGGAAGTTCGACTGAAAGGGGTGATTGTATTTTTCATGCAAGTACCGTAAAGTCGCGGATAAAAGCCGGGTTTGCATACAAGCACATCGCGGATAGAAGCCTGAAAATCAAACGGGTCAAATGCATATAAGCCTGTCGCGCGTAGAAGCCTGGCTTATGTGCAAGCGCGGATCGTGTAGGTCAAGAGTGCATGCACTATGTACAGTGCATAGTAAACGTGAATACAAGCCTGGCAAAAAATATCAGTAGTGCATATAAGCATGGTTTGCATACAAGCCTGGTTTGCATTAAAGCCTGATGCAGAAACCGGCTTATGTGCTTATAAGCCCGGCTTTTATCCGCGACTTTACGGTAATCATGGATTGATAGCAATGGGTAGCCCTGAAGAGGAAATCGGTTGTACCATGAAGACAGTAATGAGGGAATTGAGCATCATTAACTTGTGAGTATAATTATTATTCGCTAATAGTCTAGTGGAAGTATCTACTTGATTGTGTGGATTAGCGTCTTTGCATGCGAAGGTACAGATTGCGAAACTATTGTCAACGCCGCCAAACTACCGCTTGTATTAGTCTAGCACAAAAACTTCATACAAGACCGAGATGCGGTTTTAGAACATGGACCCTCAACCTGTTCATCATGTTTACGTACATGAAAGAAAATGGCGGGATGCGCACAATATCCTGGGACACGTACTGAATACCGTCTCAAGTGTAGAGTTGACAATACACATGAATGTATGCTCCCAGGACGTATCATGTAACCTATGCCTGTTTGCCATTCATATCTGATCACTTGGACACGTGGCAGACACAGGTGCTAAAAGTCTGGACAGGTATCCTAAGTCCGTACACCCAAAATCTCATTTTCAGTTATTGTATTCGACTCAAATATTTTGCCGAGGGGACACTGTTGTATTTTCTCCTGGCATACCACATTTCAGGGATCTACGAAAAGCAGAAGTCCCATACCACGCGAGTGCGTTTTCGAGTATCCATACGAAATGCATATTTGTTACTTTTCATGCAAAAATCAACTTTGCCACGACCGATTTCGAGCGAACACAGCGTCAAACAGACCGTCGCTCAATCATCAAGAGCCAGTTTACAGCTGAGAATGGCCAGATGAGAAGAATTTAAAGAGAACAGCCCATCCTTACAGAAAGCTGGACACTCCTGGCATCTCCACCTATATTTTCCCCGTGGTTTTCACAGCGCAGATGCTTCTTCTCTGAGCCGACTAAAAACAGCTTGTCTTTCACCAACAAACTACGTTTTTGCAAGGGATAGAGGCGGAGGCACATGCCAAACGTGTCGCTTCGGTACTTTCGTTGTAACCGAGGGATAGCAAGCCAGCGATAAGCAGAAACATGTGTTTAGATCGAGTCGCCTCTGAGCTGTACGGAGAAAGAGCACCCTCTGCGACACCAAACTTTGATATGAAAATCAGCAAACTCCAGAGAAACAGATCTGATCGAAAGATGGCCTGGTTCAAACGAGCCAGGCCTCGAAACAAACTTGGACAAGATACCTTCCATCCACAAAACAGGATTCTGGCAAGTGAACATTGCTAGTGAGAGTTTCAGCGCAGCAAACTAGTACCGTAAAAGTGGTCCGACTTCAAGCAACTGGGTCTACTAGCGTAATAAATGGATAATTCTGGACCACTGACACGCACGCACGCACACACACACACGCACACACACACACACAAACACACACACACAAACACACACACACACATGTATATGAAAGATGGCAAGTGCAGCTCCTAAAGCGGGGTGAGTTCTGTAAAATGACAAAAAAATCCGGCAGCTCCCTTATCAAGCAATCATGTAATCATGCTAACACAGTAATGCTGACCTTTAAACTTCAGTCGTTTGCTGTCACGAATGGCCAGCCTAGTCACAGGGCCTAGCACCATTTGATGCTCAGTGATCTCTGTGATGACAGTGTGGTCGTCGATGAAGCCAGTATCCTTCAAGTACTGCTTGGTCTCTGAGATACTGCGGCCGTCCCTGGCAGATCCAGTGGCCATGCTGATGAAACAAGGGTGCCTACTTAACTCTCTATGTATATCAGCTGGCGATTTTTCTGCGACAGACGAGAAAGATGCAAAATGGACAAACACACCGAACATAGTGAAAGCCAGTTCAGATAAGTTTAAACGACGACTGAAAGGGAGGGGTTTGAGCGCACCCATGCGAAGACAATCCATTAATTCATCAGTGATTGTAGTTTGGTCCATGACGATTGCCATACAACAGGAGCGGGTTTAGTGTCTTTCAGCCTGGTAGGTCTCTGAAAGACATGCTGGTGTTGTCTTCATTCACCAGTCATGAGTGCCCCCACCCCTCCCGAGAGGTGAGCAGAAAGTGGAGGCAAAGGGGATGTTGTGAATGTGATGTTGGTACGAGTGACGGTCAGTTTATGTAGTCGAATGTTCTCTACTCAATGCTCTGTTTGTTTCATGGAGAGGAGTATGTGGAAGATACTGAGCAATGTAGCAGGGACCGCTTAGAAGAGCATTACAGAGAAGCAAGAGTATGCGCACCCACAAAGCCCTGGGGAAAGCACCATGCATTGCACCAGCTGCTACAGCATCCAGTGGAGAGGTGGTAATGTTCTTGCTGAGAACAAAGTACCAAACAGTACATGACGGTGTACTGGACAGGCACAATTTATTGCTTACCGACTCGGCCGTCCGCCCGTGTCACGCGACCCTGGTACTTCCCTGCCTCATCTGCACACTCCTTCATGTCATCAATGATGATAGTGTTGGACGCCAAACGGTCGATTTCAGTCAACACCGCTTGCCGTTTTTCTGAGCAAGACCAAAGCAGAAAAAATGTAAAACAAATTCCACGGTCCGGGTGAGACTCAGCTGGAGGCCGAGCTTTCCGTATCCATAGGAACGCTACCAACCTTAAGCGATCAAAGCAGAACTGGGACGCCAAAAACCTTAAAGCAAATTTCTAGTGGGCAGTAAATTGCAGAGGGTAGAAATCACCTTGCACTCCAGTTTATACGTGAGTCATGACTTAGTGCACATGAAGTACTTGCAACATACAAGAACAATGAGAGAGCAAGACATACTCTAAGTGTTTGCAAGTAGGAAAACGTAATCAATGGTAAATTGCACATCTAGCTACGTGCAGATCGAATAAACGTTTTTGTCCTATTGTTTTCATGACAACATTGGCTCATGATCCGAATTCAAACAAGACATCGGTAGATGATATCACCGTGCCTACCTTCTCCCATATTCTGCATCCTCAGCAGGTCTACGCTCTTAGGCGAGGTTGGCTGTGGTAAGCGGATGGGTTTCTTTCTCCTGCCGAGGACAGTCTGTGACGCGCGCATTCGTGCCACATCTTCGACAGTGTGGACCACCCGTCGACGTTCCGGTGCTGAGAACTCTTTCACCAGCTCTACTATGGTTGTACAGTCTTTCGTGCATTCTGGAGAAACTGAAGACCCCAAGCCCACATGCGCCAACAAACACACAAGGAAAACAAATTCAGTTGTTCACATGTTTAGCCAAGACCTCCAGCTTCTTTATCCCAAATAATATTACATCAAAGTATTCAAAGTATACGCCTACACATTACGGCAACTGGTGGTTGGATATACTGGGAATGGTCAACTCTCCAAGGGTCCTTGGAATGCAAACGTTTCTAGCGTGTGCGCGCCTTACATCCCAACCCGAACCCATGCCTGACATTCCCCACCCCAACGTGTCCCACCCCAAAGTGTCCCACCCCAACGTGTCCCACCCCAACGTGTCCCACCCCAACATATCCCAACACACCGTCCCCTCACCACCTTCCCCTGCCCAACTTCTGTCAGGTTCCATTCTTCACAAAAGAGTCAGCTGAAGATAGGATAGTTAAGTGGCTTGCCCAAGAAGGCACATTGAGCCTGGAACACCAGGGTCCTCGCTTCTTCTTGTCCACCCATGAACGATTTCCCAGAACGTCACCCAAGTACTAATGGTGTCCAACAGTACACCCAAACGTCTCTAATCCACACGCCTTAGGTACGTGCACGTCTCTCTACTGGGCACCTTCAGCTTGAGTTCCAATAGCGAAAGTGCATTGTTTTCGGGTATTTGTCGCTGGCCACACATTTCAAATTAGGGATTCTATGTTTTATCCTGTACAAGTGCAATACAAGCCAAAACTACTTCATCAAAAACTAGGGGTCAAAGGGGTGTACCGGGTACCCGGGTACCGGACCGTTAATCTCAGGTACTGTTAGTAAAAGGGTACCTGTTTGGATTTTGATGAACCAGTCAGTACGGAGCAACACTGCTGGGATCGTGTATTCCAGGCGGGAGTCAATTATTTACAACTCCACACTGGATGTCTGCATTGTTGCTGCATTTTCGCACCTAGTAGATCTACTCCTGCAACTATCAGACACCAATCGATTTGCGAATCATAATGTGATATCAAAATGCAACCCGAGCACAGATGAATTAAAATCTTGATTTATGTGAAAATTGCGCAAAAATTTAAACATGGCTGCTAAAGGGTGCCGGTTAACCCGCCCGTTAAGAAAATTACCCGTTCGATAGTTAAAGGTACACCCGTTTGACCCCTATCAAAAACTGATTTGATACATAGCAGATGGCATAATCCTGGGCTACCTGCAAATCCGGAATACGGACAGTGCCCGGTCACAAAGTACCTCGAGACGTTCAAGTGCACTTGCTGTACATGAAGTACAATTCTGTGAGTGTCTCTCAGTCACCTGACTGATAACAATTCTACTTACCACCAACAAAGGTAAAGTATTGCCGGGCGCCGAAGAACTGGGGGGTCAGGGTTCTAGCCTAGCCCATTCCTATTTTTAGCGAATACAGCAGTTTCGTTCTTATTTGATGTTGCAGTCTTACATGTACATTTCTGCAGAGTAACACATCTGACTGTACATAACAGTGTTTGTACATTACGGTTTCCGTTCCTATATGCAACCAATCCAGCCTAGACCGTTCTTAAAAATTGGTCAAATTCTTCGGCGACCGACAGTGCTGTACCCGCTGACTGCACGCCATTTAGGAACTTTGAAAAGTTTGCTTCAGGTTCGGTGGTACACAGAATTTTACAGACGGTGTGGAAAGTCTCAACCGTACCATGGCTTAGCATATCTAGCAGTCGGTCAATGTGCTTGGCCGAATCATAATCTACTCCCATCAATTCCTTCTTCCGCGTATTGGTGAGCAGATCTTTGACATAGCATGCAGTGCGGATTACGCCACGGCTTTGCATTGCTTGGAGACGTTTGAACCATTTGCGGAACTCCTGGCTTGTCAATGACCCTGTGTTGCCTGCTTGAGCCTGCACAGTCAACACACATACAGTCATACACAAAATGAAGTGAGCATGAAATATCTTCTGGCTGCTGAGTTGAATGGTGTTTGTTCGTGGAAGCCGCAACGCTCCCTGCACCCTACATTCCCAAATGAATCAGCGCACATCCTCCGAAATTCGAACGCGTTGGCATTCACCCTATTAGAAAGGGGTTTGGTCAAAAATTGACTTGAAGCATTGTTTCCTTCTAAACAAATCACGGACGAAAATAACACTTTTAGACCCTGTGGTCTTCGGGGAGCTCAATCGAGTGATGCTGATTCAAGAAGACTGCATTATGTCATACAACCCATTCTACCAATGAACCACAACCTCATGTCCGTGGCTCCTTCAACACCAGTCTATTCATTGAAATGAACAGGCTGGTGGTACTCACCACTTATGAATGCACCAGCAAGTAATTCAACGGCATTATAATCATGAAGAAAATGTAATGCCTTGACCTGTTCAAAAGGGCAAACTATGATTCTGACATTACTGCCGTCGTACCCAGCTCACTATTGTAGCAGGGAGAACTACCACCAAGTGAGACCAGACAAGCAATGTTTTATGCCAGTGTGTATACTGTAAACATGATAGTGTTATTTCAGGTTTTTTAAATATTTCGGTGTCAGGAACCTGACAGGTTTCAGGTGCAATGTAGAATTAAGTGACCAGCTGTCCCTTTGTGTACAGTACATACTCCAGTGCCTTTTAGGTGACTTCAGTTTTCCATTACAACAATAAGTTTAGGCAGAACGCACTGCGACTCCTAAAACTTATAATTATGTCTCTTACATGGGAGTTTGCCCGGGGAGACGTTGCTGAATCTCCTGTTGCCTTCTTGCGGCTCCAAAAGCGTCCAGTCTTAGACGGAGCAGTTTGCTTGGCAGATAAGGTTTCTGCGGGGGGCGCTGGTCGCTGGACATGCTGCACTGCATGTTTATCAGGGTCTTTGCCAACAGCTATTGCTTGGTTAATGGCTAAGCTAGCTGGCCTGGTACCAGCTTGAGACTTTTGGTGCGGTTTTTGCTCTGGTGCTTGATTCGAAGCCAGTCTGACTGTTTCGTACCTATCCGATTCAAAACTGGATGCTAGTGTGGAGTCACTAGCAGACTTGGAAGGAACAGCTTGTCTAGGTTTAGAAGAAGGCTTGGGACCAGCTGGGGTGGATGTCGCCGCCTGAGTGCCATCTGGTCGGTTACCGCCAGCCGCTAGTAGTGCGCGGTCACAGAGCGGTGGTCGTGGAGGAGACACTGGATCAGAAGTCACTACCGGCTGCACTCTGTGAACAGTAGCGGGATCCTTAGTTTCCACTTTGCTTGCTGTGTTGTGGGGAGTGGCGGGCGTTGGGCGTGTAGGAGGCTGGGGGGCTCGACTGGATTTCAAAGGCTGAGTTCCAGCCAGTTTCCCTTCCTGGCCGGCTGAATTCAAGGCTACCTTCCTTGCGGAGACACTGCCGGGCTTGGAGGGAGACGTGTGAGTAGCCTGGGGTTCGACAACAGGCTTTAGTTCGGGTGCTGTGGCTGGCGGAGACTGAGTTGCTTGGCTGGGTGATGGTAATGGGCTCCTGATGAACTGGGCTGGTTGACGTCGAGTTACTCTTTTCGCTGCATCTTCATTGCCTGTGTTAGAGAGGACACAGAGAACAGAAAATAGCGAGAGCATTTCACTTCCTCGAAAATGCCTGCTTCCACACACGCACGCACGCACGCACGCGCGTGCACACACACACACACACACCTCAGACATGCCCATCGCAGCAGCGATGATAGCGAACAGCTATATTAGACATAGCAACACACGCACACGCACACACACACACACACACCATGTACCATGTATACGCCCGTCACAAGAGAAGCACGAAAATCTGCAAATGCACTGGATGTGCACCCACAGATTTTCTCTTAAAGCAACGATAGCGGACAAGATCTGAATGAGAGAGATAAAGACTTGCGCCAGATAACTGTCGAATCCACACAACTGGCGAAACCATGTGAATCGACCACCAATGCACACCTGGTCTACACCACACGGAGTGCATTGGCATAAAACGGCCAAGACCTATGCACAGCCTACACCTGCTGGGGTAACCAGTAAAGACAGCACACTGCTTTGATAGAAGCAGACACTAGATGCACTGGTACCATGAAGTGAAATTGGAGTTACTTTACCAACCAGCCTCGGCTACTGAGTACTGGGAACCCAGAGCCAACAGACATACCAACAACCTCAACCATGAAAGCTATATATATATATATAGTAACGACACACTGGATTGTGGAGCCGAAACTAGTCCAACTTCCTAATGCTTTGGCAAGAGAGAAATGGCACGTAAGGGTGAAAAAAAAGATAGATCGAAGGCACCGAAATTTGTCTTATAAAACCAAATGGTGAGGGTAAGACCTCACTTCAATTTGTTGGCCGCTTCGGTACACGTCAAGGGCCCAACTCGCAAGTATTATATTTTTTGCATGTACTTTGTCTGCATCCGACCTACTTCATTCCCTCGCTTCAGAACGCGCTGATCCTGATGGACGACGACCTAACCCTGAAGCAGTCCACACTGGAGCCGCTATGCAGGACGTGGCCTCCAGACTGGCCATCCAAGTTGCTGGGCTACACTTACTCGACACAATCAAGGACACTAGAACCTTGGAGATCCTCACCCGACACATCAAGCGCGGGACCCGGGACGTCGCGCTCTCCCCCCTCCCCCCCCCCCCCCCCGCAGCTCGAGTTACCGACTTCATCCGCTGCTCTCCAGCGGGAAGGCGCGGCCCTGCAAGACAGCTCGCCAGACATACCTCCACCATCATCCGTCTCTGTCAACTCGACAGTCCCACAGAAGAGCTCCGATCCCGAGTCGAAACAGTCGCGGTCACTCAGCTGGCCGCGCTCCAGTCGGCCAGGACCGACATCGCCTACGAGTGCCTCCCTCCCCAGCAGAGACGTCTGGTGCAGCAACTGCAGTCGTCGGACCTATTTTCAGAAGAGGAACGACAACTCATTGCCATCTCTGGAGAGGTACTGCACGCCAGAGCGCAGAGTTCCTACAGGAGTCCCGCCGAGGCATACCGAGGACATCCGAGGCGAGGAAGGACCACAAGCTACCTTAGAGGCCGCAGAAGGGGCCGAGGTGCTAGACCTCCAACAGACTACTAGTTGGCACAATGATTACAGATACGGTCATCCGTGCTTTCATAAGTACGACATGGCGCTTTTAGTGACATTTTGCATACAAATCCCCATCTAGTAGGGCGCAGTTACTTAGTTTCGGTGGAAGTGCGCGAGTTCGATTGGGATTAAAGGAGGAAGGGAGCGTCTCAGCTTCCTCGGACCACTACCATTCGACTAAGCACCCCGAAGACTACAACTGGTGAAATTTTGATTTTAGCCTTAACTTCCCCTTTAAGCAGTCGGTAATTGAGTTTGGCCGAATCATATTCTACTCCCATCAATTCCTTCTTCTGTGAATCGGTGAGCAGCCCCTTGGCCAGGCATTCCACACGAATTGCAACGCAGCTGAGCGCTGCTTTGAGACTTAGGATCCACTTACGGAACTCCTGGCTTGAACATGGCCCTGTGTTGCCTGCTTGACCCTGCAAAGTCAACACACGTATAGGCATACAGAAAATGAAGTGAGCATGAAAATAATAATATCTTCTGGCTGCTGAGTTGAATGGTGTTTGTTCGTGGAAGCCGCAACGCTCCCTGCACCCTACATTCCCAAATGAATCAGCGCATATCCTCCGAAATTCGAAAGTGTTGGCATTCACCCTATTAGAAAGGGATTTGTGCAAAAATTGACTTGAAGCATTGTTTCCTTCTAAAAAAATCACGGACGAAAATAACACTTTTAGACCCTGTGGTCTTCGGGGAGCTCAATCGAATAATGCTGATTAAAGAAGACTGTAACATGTCATACAACCCATTCTACCAATGAACCACAACCTCATGTCCGTGACTCTTTCAACACCAGTCTATTCATTGAAATGAACAGGCTGGTGGTACTCACCACTTATGAATGCACCAGCAAGTAATTCAACGGCATTATGATCATGAAGAAACGCCTTGACCTCTTCAAAAGGGCTAACTATGATTCTGACATTACTGCCGTCGTACCCAGCTCACTATTATAGCAGGGAGAACGACCTTGACTTACTACCACCAAGTGAGACCAGACAAGCAACGTGTTATGCGAGTGTGTAAATTGTATACATGATAATGTTATTTCAGGTTTATTAAATTTCGGTGTCAGGAACCTGACAGGTTTCTGGTGAAATGTAGAATTAAGTGACCAGCTTTCCCTTCCCATACAGTACATACTCTAGTGCCTTTTTAGGTGTTATCTAAATATAGATACAGTCAGACCTCGCTTAACCGGTTCTCCTTTATTTGGATAGCTCGCTATCCGGAAGAAAATCACTGGTTGCCGATATACAGCATACATGATGCATAAAACATAACCGGACCTCGCGATCCGCATACAGGTGCATCGTTATGTGAACAAAATGGTTCAAAGGTGTACGAAGCTTCGTGATATTAGGTTGCACGTTGCTCTCAGAAGCTGAAACCAGGGAGTTTTACAAACAAATGGGGCTGGTCTGACTCCTTGATCCGCTGGCCGCATAAGGGCAGTGCTCACTTGCATGCAGTTGCCATTTTTATCACTTGTTTCACACAATGTGCACGCTAGCTGCACGGCATGGCACCCATACACATGTACGTACAAGTTTACATCTTTGGATATGCTACATGCGTATAATAGACCCAGTATGTGCGTTCGGTTTATCCAGTTCCCACGCCTATCTGGATATTTTTTGTGGAAAACGGATTTGTGCGGTTAAGTGAGGTCTGACTATATTTGGTTTCTCTACCGAAATCACTCAAATTAAAGTTACAGCCTGACCGAAAATACCATGTTTTACAATAAATCAGCTCTGCCCCAAGAGGGACTTCGAACGGCCACCCAGGTTTGAAACCTCGGGAGATATAGGGTTAGAGTTGCCTGTGCCGTCTCCCGACACCCTACAACTCCCTTGATCACATTACCCAGGATGTGCACCAAGAGTACATGAAACCCAGTGTGTGCAGAGTGTGACTCTTTTTCTGCATGGATGTCTATCACGGTGAAGTTCTGCGATTACGTCATAGCTGGTGCAGATTAGTGGCAAGAAACGGCGTAGTGCGTACTATCTATATCTCTGGCCTTTCCCCATAAAAACATATCGTGTGACTCAGAGTAACGGAAATTTCGAAAGTTCCGTGTAGTGCCCGGTCTCGGACCGCTCGCGTACTTGTAAACCAGGTATCAGTGTACAGTTGTGTTAAAGCATCTGATCATCAGCTGCACCCCCCCCCCCCCCCCTCCCTCCTGCCCCAGAAAAATGCTAAGAGTGTGGATTGATGTCGATCCCACTCTGTGCTGACTTCAGTTTTCCATTACAATAATAAGTTTAGGCATAACGCACTGTGACTCCTGTCACTTATATGTATTTCCCTTACTGGAGAGGTTGGCTGGGAAGGCATAGCTGAATCTCCTGTTGCCTTCTTGCGGCTCCCAAAGTGTCCAGTCTTAGGCAGAGCAGTGGGCTTGGCAGACATACCTTCTGCGGCAGGCGCTGGCCGCTGTACATGCTGCACTGCATGTCCATCTGGGTCTTTGCCAACAGCTATTGCTGGGTTAATGGCTAAGCTAGCTGCCCTGGCATCGGCTATGGAATTTCGGCGCGGTTTCGGCTTTGGGGCTTGATTTGAGGTCAGTCTGACTGTTTCGTACCTATCCGATTCGAAACTAGATTCAAATGTAGAGACACTAGCAGACCTGAAAGGAACAGCTTGACCAGGTTTCGGACAGGGCTTGGGATCAGCTGGGCCAGATGTCGCCGCCTCAGTGCCTACTGGTTGGTTATCGCCTGTCGCTAGTAGTGCGCGGTCAGGGAGCGGTGGTCGTGGAGGAGACACAGGAGCAGAAGTCACTACCGGCTGCACTCTGTGAACCGTAGCGGGATCCTTGGTTTCCACTGTTCTTGCTGTGTTGTGGGGAGTGGCGGGCGTTGGGCGAGTAGGAGGCTGGGGGGCTCGACTGGATTTCAAAGGCTGAGTTCCAGCCAGTTTCCCTTCCTGGCCGGCTGAATTCAAGGCTACCATCCTTGCGGAGACACTGGTGGGCTTGGGGGGAGATGCGTGAGTAGCCTGGGGCTCAACAACACGCTTTGGTTTGGGTGCTGTAGCTGGCGGAGACCGAGTTGCTTGGCTGGGTGATGGTGGTGGGTTCCTGATGAACTGGGCTGGTTGACGTCGAGTTACTCTATTCGCTGCATCTTCACTGCCTGTGTTAGAGAGGACACAGAGAACAGCAAATAGCCAAAGTGTTTCACATCCTCGGAAAATGCCTGCGTGCACATACACACGCACACACACACACACACACACACACACTCACTCACACACACACACACACACACACACACACACACACACACACACACACACACACACACACACACACACACACACATCGTGACAAACGCCTTTGCACAACTTCAGCGCTGTTTGGTGCCCTCAATATGCCCTGTATAGAAATGGAACAAAAAGATTCCAAGCACACGCAGTACTGGCCGTATACCGTACTAGCAGCACACTAGAAAATGGTTGTCATATGTACTACATAGACTTAACAGGCAAAATGGTGGCTATGAGGCTGCCGGTGGTACATGGTCACCATACCACAGATAGTCGAGCTACACTAAGGTGTACAATTCTGCGAGTGTCTCTCAGCCACCTGACCGATAAAATTTCTACTTAGGCCATGGTAAAAATTATCTTTGATTCTCAAGTAGGCGCGCACCGATTTTTGGCGGCGCACCAACGATTTTATTTTATTTCTATGCATGAATATGCACGCATGAAAACGGTCAATGCGAAAGGCATGAATCAGGGAGTAGTAAAATACCGGCATTTTTCTACTCCCTGGTCTGAATATGTTACGTCATGACCATGTACATATGTGTGACCCTATCTTTGGAAATAAAAAAATTGTGGGAAATAAAATAAAAAATCGCTCGCTCGCACCGATTTTCACAGGATCATGACCTGAGAATCAACTATATTTTTTACCATGGCCTTACCTGCAACAAAGGTATCCACTGACTGCATGTCATCTAGGAACTTTGAAAATTTGCTTCAGGTTCGGTGCTATGCACAATACTACAGAAAGTGTGGAAAGTCTCAGCTGTACCCCTGCTTGTTGTGAAATGATGTGTTGTTTTCCTGTGTGATGGCATTCCCCAAACTGTCTATTTTTGTCGCATGCATGTGTGATATGAGCATGCGCGACTTTGGAGTCGAGAGTCCTTTTGTTAGTCTTCTTGTTCGTCTCCGTCAGAGCAGTTTGCTTTTCCGTCTTGTAAATATAAATAATGTAACAAACAAGTCTTGTCCATTGTGTCCTGCGCCCCGGGGAACGGAATGGCTGTGATTCCGTAACATGCTCAGCATATCTAGCAGTCGGTCATTGTGTTTGGAAGAATCATATTCTACTCCCAACAATTCCTTCTTCTGCGTATCGGTGAGCAGCCCTTCGGCCAGGCATTCCACACGAATTGCAACGCAGCTGAGCGCTGCTTTGAGACTTGGGATCCACTTACGGAACTCCTGGCTTGACCATGGCCCTGTGTTGTCTGCTTGACCCTGCAAAGTCACCACACGTATAGGCATACACAAAATGAAGTGAGCATGAAATATCTTCTGGCTGCTGAGTTGAATGGCGTTTGTTTGAGGAAGCCGCAATGCTCCCTGCACCCTACATTCCCATTTGAATCAGCGCACATCCGCCAAAATGCAAACGTGTTGGCGTTAACCTATCAGAAAGGGATTTGTGCAAAAATTGACTTGAAGTGTTATTTCCTTCTAAACAAATCACGGACGACAATAATACTTTAAGAACACGTGGTCTTCAAGGAGCTCAATCGAATTATGCTGATCAAAGAAGGCTGTAATATGTCATAAAAACATGAAAAGAGCTTCATTTTGATATACATGTCATACTACTTCCTCCGCGTCATCGAAATTGTCGCAGTTTGACTAGTGACTTATCACTTGTTACTGACAACTCCATAAGCTAAGCCATTCAAAAATTATTACACAGTATGATAGTCTGAAGACTAGAGTAACGTTCCAGGACAGTTGGACCAAGCGTTTTCATGCAGAGATGAAGTCCTCGTCGACCCTGATGCCAATGGACGCAAAATTATCGTTTCGAAATATTTCAAGGAAGGTTGAAAGTTGGTCGCGCCTCATCTCAAACGCTTTGACATTCTCCACAGGACAAGAGCTGCTATGCTTGTCGTCTGCTAGCTCTGGAAGATTTCTACTTCTCCACCAAAGAAGCCTAGTAAGAATACACGATCGTTGCGAGGTCGGTTGATTACCGTCGGCGGTATCACCTCGATCTTGAAATGAACTTTTTTTAGCCGTGGCATGCCCATTTATTTTAGCTGTGTGGTCACAGCTCATGCAGGTAAGTGTACTATCACGTCCAGCGCGCCCTCTTTTTCAGCATCACTGCCCGACCCTGATTCACTGGTATACTATGGTACGGCACCTGCACGTGCATCACTAGCACTACGTGTAGAGTCTACGCGGCTCTTGCTCTTGCAGGTACAATCATGTACTAGTACTGAGTGTCTCGGCCAGAGCGACAAATTTTATCGCTGTTGCAGGCATTTAGTTTGCTGACCCCTCGATGTTTCTCCAAGCGCTGCCACTTGTTCCACGAATTCGTTCTCACCCCAGCTAAGGTAAAACAGTGATGAGGCTTGAGTGAATGGCCATAAGCACGAGAAATGCGCAGGCTGCAACGCCTAACTGATCTCACCGAGTCGAAATTACCATCTCAGCGACATCGGCGAAGAAATTGCGTCTAGTTCAAAAATTCCAGCTTCCAATAACAGAAAATAGAACTTTGCCGTCACCCTATACTGATGACCATCGCCTATGATTCCTTGCCTCTGGTACGAGTGCTGGTGAGTAAATACCCCGTTTTATATCAAAAGTCAAACTGCGACAATTTCGATGACGCGGAGGAAGTATACAAAATATGGGTTCACATACATTTAAATGGGACTTCGGGTATAAGGACACTTCGCGAATAAGGACACTTTTCTGATGCCCCACCGAATGTCGTTATTCGCAAAGTTGACTGTATGTGACTCAGAGTAACGGAAATTTCAAAGTTCCGGGTAGTGCCCGGTCTCGGACCTCTCGCGTACTTGTAAACCAGGTGTCAGTGTACAGTTGTGTTAAAGCATCTGATCATCAGCTGCCCCCCCCCCCCTGCCCTCCTGCCCCAGCAAAATGCAATGAGTGGATTGATGTCGATCCCACTCTGTGCTGACTTCAGTTTTCCATTACAATAATACTGCATCATATTAAGGTTGAAGCATAATTCACTGCGACTCCTGTCACATAATAATTATATCTCTTACCAGAGAGTTTGCCCGGGTAAGCGTTGCTGAATCTCCTGTTGGCGTCTTGGCGATCGACAAGCATCCAGTCTTAGGCAGAGCAATGTGCTTGGCAGATATGCCTTCTGCGGTGCGCACTGACCGCTGTACATGCTCCACTGCGTGTCCGCCCGGGTCTTTGCCAACTGCTATTGCTGGGCTCCTGGCCAAGCTAGCTGTGCTGGCAATTGACGTGGAGTGTGGGCGCTGTTTTGGCTTTGGGGCTCGATCCGGGGACAGTCTCCCTGTTTCGTACCTATCTGATTCAAAACTAGATTCAAATGTAGAGACACTAGCAGACCTGAAAGGAACAGCTTGACCAGGTTTCGGTGAGGGTTTGGGATCAGCTGGGCCAGATGTCGCCGCCTCAGTGCCGACTGGTTGGTTATCGCCTGTCGCTAGTAGTGCGCGGTCAGGGAGCGGTGGTCGTGGAGGAGACACAGGAGCAGAAGTCACTACCGGCTGCACTCTGTGAACCGTAGTGGGATCCTTAGTTTCCACTGTTCTTGCTGTGTTGTGGGGAGTAGCGGGCGTTGGGCGAGTAGGAGGCTGGGGGGCTCGACTGGATTTCAAAGGCTGAGTTCCAGCCAGTTTCCCTTCCTGGTCGGCTGAATTCAAGGCTACCTTCCTTGCGGAGACACTGGTGGGCCTGGAAGAAGATGCGTGAGTAGCCTGGGGTTCAACAACAGGCTTTGGTTTGGGTCCTGTGGCTGGCGGAGACTGAGTTGCTTGGCTGGGTGATGGTAACGGGTTCCTGATGAACTGGGCTGGTTGACGTCGAGTTACTCTTTTCGCTGCATCTTCACTGCCTGTGTTAGAGAGGACACAGGGAACAGCAAATAGCCAAAGTGTTTCACATCCTCGCAAAATGCCTGCGTGCACATACACACACACACGCACACACACACACACACACACACACACACACACACACACACACACACACACACACACACACACACACACACACACACACACACACACACACACACACATATACACACACACAGACATCGTAACAAACGCCTTTGCACAACTTCAGCGCTGTTTGGTGCCCTCAATATGCCCTGTATAGAAATGGAACAAAAAGATTCCAAGCACACGCAGTACTGGCTGTATACCGTACTAGCAGCACACTAGAAAATGGTTGTCATAGGTACTACATAGTCTTAAAAGGGAAGTTAAGGCAAAAATTAAAATTTCACCGGTTGTAGTCTTCGGGGTGCTGAGTCGAATGGTCTTGGTCCGAGGAAGCTGAGACGCTCCCTTCCTACTTGAATCCCAATCGAACTCGCGCACTTCCACCGAAACTGGGTGACTGCGCCCTACGAGATGGGGATTTGTATGCAAAATGTCACTAAAAGCGCCATTTCGTTCTTATAAAAGCACGGATGACCGCGATTGGCCCATATGTTGTAGTCTTTTGGACGCTGAGTTGACTGGTTTTGGTCCGAAAAGGCTGCGATGCAGCGTTCCTCCTTTATTCCCAATCGAACATGGTTGAACAAGTGGTCACGTGCTCCTGGGTGCCCAAATCACCTGGTCACCACGCCAGCAGGTGACAACTTTCACACCAAGGTTCAACTCGAGTTCAACTCGAGTGACAGGACTGCACCCAAAAAAGGTCAAACAGGCTAGTAAGTTGTACCCTGCAGGCACGGTGACCAGGTGACTGGCGTACGCAGGAGCACGTGACCGCTTGTTCAACCATGTTCGATTGGGAATAAAGGCGGAACGCTGCATCGCAGCCTTTTCGGACCAAAACCAGTCGACTCAGCGTCCAAAAGACTACAACATATGGGCCAATCGCGGTCATCCGTGCTTTTATAAGAACGAATTGGCGCTTTTAGTGACATTTTGCATACAAATCCCCATCCCGTAGGGCGCAGTCACCCAGTTTCGGTGGAAGTGCGCGAGTTCGATTGGGATTCAAGTAGGAAGGGAACGTCCCAGCTTCCTCGGACCAAGACCATTCGACTCAGCACCCCGAAGACTACAACTGGTGAAATTTTAATTTTTGCCTTAACTTCCCCTTTAACAGGCAAAATGGAGGCTATGAGGCTGCCGGTGGTACATGGTCACTACACCACAGATGGTCGAGCTACACTAAGGTGTACAATTCTGCGAGTGTCTCTCAGCCACCTGACCGATAAAATTTCTACTTAGGCCATGGTAAAAATTATCTTTGATTCTCAAGTAGGCGCGCACCGATTTTTGGCGGCGCACCAACGATTATATTTTATTTCTATGCATGCATATCCACGCATGAAAACGGTCAATGCGAAAGGCATGAATCAGGGAGTAGTAAAATACCGGCATTTTTCTACTCCCTGGTCTGAACATGTTACGTCATGACCATGTACATATGTGTGACCCTATCTTTGGAAATAAAAAAATTGTGGGAAATAAAATAAACAATCGCTCGCTCGCACCGATTTTCACAGGCTCACGACCTGAGAATCAACTTTATTTTTTACCATGGCCTTACCTACAACAAAGGTATCCACTGACTGCATGTCATCTAGGAACTTTGAAAAGTTTGCTTCAGGTTCGGTGGTACGCACAATACTACAGAAGGTGTGGAAAGTCTCAGCTGTACCCCTGCTTGTTGTGAAATGATGTGTTGTTTTCCTGTGTGAAGGTATTCCCCAAACTATGTCGTCTAGTCGCATGCATGTGTGATAGGAGCATGCGCAAGTTTGGAGTCGAGAGTCCTTTTGTTAGTCTTCTTGTTCTTCTCCGTCAGAGCAGTTTGCTTTTCCGTCTTGTAAATATAAATAATGTAACAAACAAGTCTTGTCCATTGTGTCCTGCGCCCCGGGGAACGGAATGACTGTGATTCCGTAACATGCTCAGCATATCTAGCAGTCGGTCATTGTGTTTGGAAGAATCATATTCTACTCCCAACAATTCCTTCTTCTGCGTATCGGTGAGCAGCCCCTTGGCCAGGCATTCCACACGAATTGCAACGCAGCTGAGCGCTGCTTTGAGACTTGGGATCCACTTACGGAACTCCTGGCTTGACCATGGCCCTGTGTTGTCTGCTTGACACTGCAAAGTCAACACACGTATAGGCATACACAAAATGAAGTGAGCATGAAATATCTTCTGGCTGCTGAGTTGAATGCTGTTTGTTTGAGGAAGCCGCAACGCTCCCTGCACCCTACTTTCCCATCTGAATCAGTGCACATCCGCCAAAATGCAAACGTGTTGGCGTTAACCTATCAGAAAGGGATTTGTGCAAAAATTGACTTGAAGTGTTATTTCCTTCTAAACAAATCACGGACGACAATAACACTTTTAGAACACGTGGTCTTCAAGGAGCTCAATCGAATTATGCTGATCAAATAAGGCTGTAATATGTCCCCAATGCCTGCTGTAATATGTCATAAAAACATGAAAAGAGCTTCATTTTGATATACATGTCATACTATACAAAATATGGGTTCACATACATTTAAATGGGACTTCGGGTATAAGGACACTTCGCGAATAAGGACACTTTTCTGATGCCCCACCGAATGTCATTCTTCGCAAAGTTGACTGTATGTGACTCAGAGTAACGGAAATTTCAAAGTTCCGGGTAGTGCCCGGTCTCGGACCTCTCGCGTACTTGTAAACCAGGTGTCAGTGTACAGTTATGTTAAAGAATCAGATCATCAGCTGCCCCCCCCCCCCCTGCCCTCCTGCCCCAGCAAAATGCAAAGAGTGGATTGATGTCGATCCCACTCTGTGCTGACTTCAGTTTTCTATTACAATAATACTGCATCATATTAAGGTTGAAGCATAATTCACTGCGACTCCTGTCACATATAATTATATCTCTTACCAGAGAGTTTGCCCGGGTAAGCGTTGCTGAATCTCCTGTTGGCGTCTTGGCGATCGACAAGCATCCAGTCTTAGGCAGAGCAATGTGCTTGGCAGATATGCCTTCTGCGGTGCGCACTGACCGCTGTTCATGCTGCACTGCGTGTCCGCCCGGGTCTTTGCCAACTGCTATTGCTGGGCTCCTGGCCAAGCTAGCTGTGCTGGCAATTGACGTGGAGTTTGGGCGCTGTTTTGGCTTTGGGGCTCGATCCGGGGACAGTCTCCCTGTTTCGTACCTATCTGATTCAAAACTAGATTCAAATGTAAAGACACTAGCAGACCTGAAAGGAACAGCTTGACCAGGTTTCGGTGAGGGCTTGGGATCAGCTGGGCCAGATGTCGCCGCCTCAGTGCCGACTGGTTGGTTATCGCCTGTCGCTAGTAGTGCGCGGTCAGGGAGCGGTGGTCGTGGAGGAGACACAGGAGCAGAAGTCATTACCGGCTGCACTCTGTGAACCGTAGCGGGATCCTTAGTTTCCACTGTTCTTGCTGTGTTGTGGGGAGTGGCGGGCGTTGGGCGAGTAGGAGGCTGGGGGGCTCGACTGGATTTCAAAGGCTGAGTTCTAGCCAGTTTCCCTTCCTGGTCGGCTGAATTCAAGGCTACCTTCCTTGTGGAGACACTGGTGGGCTTGGAAGAAGATGCGTGAGTAGCCTGGGGTTCAACAACAGGCTTTGGTTTGGGTCCTGTGGCTGGCGGAGACTGAGTTGCTTGGCTGGGTGATGGTAACGGGTTCCTGATGAACTGGGCTGGTTGACGTCGAGTTACTCTTTTCGCTGCATCTTCACTGCCTGTGTTAGAGAGGACACAGGGAACAGCAAATAGCCAAAGTGTTTCACATCCTCGCAAAATGCCTGCGTGCACATACACACACACACACACACACACACACACACACACACACACACACACACACACACACCTGTCCTGTCCTGTTGAGCCACTGCCATGAAGGTTACGTGGGCCCCGGAGGGGCAGCTGAGAGAGAGGAGGAGCACACAGCCCTGTGACGATCCAGGTGATGCGGTAAGCGAAATCGGCGGGAGCAGGCGCAAACACACGTGAAACCCTGACGGTCCTGAACGGTCGGACGACTACAAGTCCGCGAGCAGCGATGACGGGCGCGGCCACGTGTAGACGCAAAGCAGCGGTCACAAGCCTGGCAGTGAGCGACGCAGCACAGCGGAGAAGCAGGCAGCGGCAGGGGCGCACCGACTGCAGCGGCTCTCTGTCTTCCACCGCCGATGCATCCGCTCAATCATGGGAGTGTCTCGCCAAGAATGCTGGGATGACAACATCACCAATCACCAACTACGTGTGAGGTGGGGTGATCCCGACACACACACACACACACACACACACACATCGTGACAAACGCCTTTGCACAACTTCAGCGCTGTTTGGTGCCCTCAATATGCCCTGTACGGAAATGGAACGAAAAGATTCCAAGCACAAGCAGTACTGGCTGTATACCGTACTAGCAGCACACTAGAAAATGGTTGTCACAATTATGTACTACATAGTCTTAACAGGCAAAATGGAGGCTATGAGGCTGCCGGTGGTACATGGTCACTACACCACAGATGGTCGAGCTACACTAAGGTGTACAATTCTGCGAGTGTCTCTCAGCCACCTGACCGATAAAATTTCTACTTAGGCCATGGTAAAAATTATCTTTGATTCTCAAGTAGGCGCGCACCGATTTTTGGCGGCGCACCAACGATTTTATTTTATTTCTATGCATGAATATGCACGCATGAAAACGGTCAATGCGAAAGGCATGAATCAGGGAGTAGTAAAATACCGGCATTTTTCTACTCCCTGGTCTGAACATGTGACGTCATGACCATGTACATATGCGTGACCCTATCTTTGGAAATAAAAAAATTAATGCGATTAATAGTATAAGTGAAGCGGACATTACAAAATGATGAATGAGAATACATGTATCTAAAATGGGTTTTTTCTAATTTCTTTCGTCTTCTCTCCCACTTTAGTTTATTTTTTTATTTTTTACACCTCACCTTGTATACTTCCCACTATCCTATAACCTATAAGTAGTTTGTTTCTCCGTATAGCCTCTATTGTGAGACGATTTTTCCCTGATTATAGTCTCAAGAAAATCGATTAGGAACAACCATTTTAGACACATGTATTCTCATTCATCATTTTGTAATGTCCGCTTCACTTATACTATTAATCGCATTAATAAAGTTATTGTCTCCTCGTCGCCTTTTAATAAAAAAATTGTGGGAAATAAAATAAAAAATTGCTCGCTCGCACCGATTTTCACAGGCTCATGACCTGAGAATCAACTTTATTTTTTACCATGGCCTTACCTGGAACAAAGGTATCCACTGACTGCATGTCATCTAGGAACTTTGAAAAGTTTGCTTCAGGTTCGGTGCTACGCACAATACTACAGAAAGTGTGGAAAGTCTCAGCTGTACCCCTGCTCAGCATATCTAGCAGTCGGTCATTGCGTTTGGCAGAATCATACTCTACTCCCAACAATTCCTTCTTCTGCGTATCGGTGAGCAGCCCCTTGGCCAGGCATTCCACACGAATTGCAACGCAGCTGAGCGCTGCTTTGAGACTTGGGATCCACTTACGGAACTCCTGGCTTGACCATGGCCCTGTGTTGCCTGCTTGACCCTGCAAAGTCTACACACGTATAGGCATACACAAAATGAAGTGAGCATGAAATATCTTCTGGCTGCTGAGTTGAATGCTGTTTGTTTGAGGAAGCCGCAACGCTCCCTGCACCCTACATTCCCATCTGAATCAGCGCATATCCGCCAAAATGCAAACGTGTTGGCATTAACCTATCAGAAAGGGATTTGTTCAAAAATTGACTTGAAGTGTTATTTCTTTCAAAACAAATCACGGACGACAATTACACTTTCAGAACACGTGGTCTTCAAGGAGCTCAATCGAATTATCCTGATCAAAGAAGGCTGTAATATGTCATAAAAACGTGAAAAGAGGTTCATTTTGATATGCATGTCATACTATACAAAATATGGGTTCACATACATTTAATAGGACTTCGGGTATAAGGACACTTCGCGAATAAGGACACTTTTCTGATGCCCCACCGAATGTCATTATTTGCAAAGTTGACTGTATGTGACTCAGAGTAACGGAAATTTCAAAGTTCCGGGTAGTGCCCGGTCTCGGACCTCTCGCATACTTGTAAACGAGGTATCAGTGTACAGTTGTGTTAAAGCATCTGATCATCAGCTGCCCCTCCCCCCCCCCCCCCCCCCCCTTGCCCTCATGCCCCAGAAAATGCAAAGAGTGGATTGATGTCGATCCCACTCTGTGCTGACTTCAGTTTTCCATTACAATAATATTGTATTATATTAAGTTTAAGCATAATTCACTGCGACTCCTGTCATGTATAATTAATCTCTTACCAGAGAGTTTGCCCGGGTAAGCTTTGCTAAATTTCCTGTTGGCGTCTTGGCGATCGACAAGCATCCAGTCTTAGGCAGAGCAATGGGCTTGACAGACATACCTTCTGCGGCGGGAGCTGGCCGCTGTACATGCTGCACTGCGTGTCCGCCCGGGTCTTTGCCAACTGCTATTGCTGGGCTCCTGGCCAAGCTAGCTGTGCTGGCAATTGACGTGGAGTTTGGGCGCTGTTTTGGCTTTGGGGCTCGATCCGGGGACAGTCTCCCTGTTTCTTGCCTATCCGATTCAAAACTAGATTCAAATGTAGAGACACTAGCAGACCTGAAAGGAACAGCTTGACCAGGTTTCGGAGAGGGCTTGGGATCAGCTGGGGCAGATGTCGCCACCTGCGTGCCCATTGATTGGTTACCGCCAGCCGCTAGTAGTGCGCGGTCACAGAGAGGTGGTCGTGGAGGAGACACAGGATCAGAAGTCACTACTGGCTGCACTCTTTGAACCGTAGCGGGATCCTTAGTTTCCACTGCTCTTGCTGTGTTGTGGGGAGTGGCGGGCTTTGGTCGAGGAGGAGGCTGGGGGGCTCGACTAGGTTTTGAAGGTAGAGTTCCAGCCAGTTTCCCTTCTTGGCCAGCTGAATTCAAGGCTGCTATCATTGCAGAGACGCCGGTGGGCTTGGAGGGAGATGCGTGAGTGGCCTGGGGTTTTAGAGCAGGCTTTGCCGGTTTGGGTGCTGTGGCTGGCGGAGACCGAGTTGCTTGGCTGGGTGATGGGTTCCTGATGAGCTTGGCTGGTTGAAGTCGAGTTACTCTATTTGCTGCATCTTCACTGCCTGTAGTTGAGAGGACACAGAGAACACCAAATAGCCAAAGCATTTCACAGCCTCTCAAAATGCCTGGCTGCATGCATGCGAGCAATAGCGACATCACGCAAACTTTGAAGATGCATCACTTGATGTGGATATCCAGGTGTCGGTTGTTAAAAACGGAGCACACACACACACAGACACACACACACACACACACACACAGACACACACGCACACACAGACACACACACAGACACAAGGGATCGATTTACTTTGATTTTTTGCATAGCAGTCACTGCTACACAGTTTTACAATTGACTAGCAACTCCCAGTATTGATTAGCAGTTTTCCTTCATCAAAAGTTTACATGTATAGCTGTACAATAGCAGGATTTTGTACAGAAGAGGACAATAGCTGCAGTTGCTATTTGCTTTTCCAAACGAACGGTTGACCTGAATATTTTACGTTAGGGTTTTCGCTTGCGCTTGTTACATGTTCAGCATCCATCCGACTTCAAGTTCTTCACAACACAATGTCCTTCAACAGGGCAGTTTCACTGATTCCTTCCACAAAGAAAGCTCAGGAAAGCGCTCAAACGATCGTGACACTTCGTTCAAAGCGCACAGAATTTTCTCTTTTCTCCTTTTCTTCATCGAAACGAATCAACACTCCTGGCGCGTCCAGTTCTTTCTCCCGCTTCTGGACAGTGATCAGATTCACTAAACATGTTGGTTACATGAGACTAAGAACCATCTACTTCAACTGTGTCTTGTCGAACAGAAACAAACTGAATTGAGCTTGACAGTGAAAGAAGAATGGAGAACTTCAGGGAAAGTCGTCGCCGTGTACAAAACTTCAAAAGACTGCAGACTGTGCAGTCTTGTACGACCGGTCGACCAGTGCTATCAGTGGCCAGTGCAGTGTCCAAAATCAAACAGAGCGCGATCCGCGACCCGCACTCGGCCTGAGCGGTACAGACCAGTTGGTTGGAGTAGTAAAAATACTAGTAAAATACTACTCCCTAGTCAGCAGTGTGTACAACAGTCGCATGCAAACTGCACACAAACAGTACAGAATGGTCTTTGTACATACCGGTATGCATGGCCAGTGCATCGCAGTTTTGGGCGATAAAAAACGAGAAGCGAATCGCAGCCAGTGAATTTTGATTCGCAAACTGCGATGCGAACCCGGATAAATCGATCCCTGCTGACACAGACACAGACAAAGACACACACACACACACACACACACACACACACACCTTTGCACTACTTCAGCGCAGGTTGGTGCCATCAATATGCACTGTATAGAGTTGGGAGCAAATCAATTCAAATTTACCACATACTGTACTTGTTGGACATATAAAATTCTGTGAGTCTCTCAGTCACCGTACTGATAAAGTTGCTACTTAGGCGGGACCAAAAAAAATAGAGATTCCCGGGCCCTTACGCACCAAAATCAAGCCAAAGCCATTTCTTTTTTGGAACAGTTCATATATGTACAGTACTGATCGTGTGAGTAGATCTGTGACGTGGAGTCACACAAACCCGAGTTTGTACGACTCCCTGATGTACAGATCAGGGCCATCGTTGGCCGAAATACCTGTTGTCTGTAAAAAAATTGAATAAAAATTACCGGAAAATGCTGTAAAAAAAGTTCAACATGGCATGCACACATGTAGTCGTGTACATACATGGGAAAAAATGAAATATAAAATTCGCCCGCACGCACCAATTTCACATGGGTCCTGCCCGGGAATCTCGATTTTATTTTGGTCTCGCCTTCCCTCCAACAAAGGTATCCACTGACTGCATGTCATCTAGGAACTTTGAAAAGTTTGCTTCAGGTTCGGTGCTACGCACTATACTACAGAAGGTGTGGAAAGTCTCAGCTGTACCCCTGCTCAGAATATCTAGCAGTCGGTCATTGTATTTGGTAGAATCTTTTATCGCCATCAATTCCTTCTTCTGCGCATCGGAGATCAACCGCTTGGCACAGCATTCCGCACGAATTGCATCGCAGCTGAGCGCTGCTTGGAGGCGTGTGATCCACTTACCGAACATCTGGCTTGACCATGGCCATGTGTTGGCCGCGTGGTTCTGCAATAACAACACACAGAGTGCATACAGTAGACCATCTGCGCAGGTCAGACTGGCCCATCTACGCGCGACCGACAAGAAAACTCATGAACACTTTCATTTTTTTGCAAAATAAATCGTGTGAAGAAGATGCACGGAATGGCTGAAAACTAGGCTGAGGAATAGTAGCATCCAGAGACTCTCAAACAAATTCATGGTCCATCGCTTCTGACAATGGCAGGGAAGACATCTGGGAGCTGATTGCAGCAACTCTCTACCAAGCGCGATGCTGGTTACTCACCAGGGCAGGGCGCTTCCATCGCGCAAGAAATGGCCGCGAGCGAGAAATGCAAGTCCGATTTTGGAACGATCCAACCAGGGAAATCTCTTGAAAATTGGCCTGAACACCTCTCATACTGGTGTTTCACGATGTGCAAACTTTCAGAGAAATCGACGGGGGAGAACGTGGTGAGTACGTGGGTCCTCCGTATCGCGTATGATTTGAATGGTCGCGGGGACAGAAGAACAGTAATTTTACGACTCCCAGCGGTGCAAACAGACCGCGGCCATGTTTTCTCTGTCGGCCGCGATCACGTTGAAAAAATCGATGACGCAATGCATGCGCAGACGCCTGCGCAGTGCGTTCGCTGACATCCCTACTAGCTTGGCCGGTTGTGGCTCTTCGAGGTGAAACTAGGGTTTTTCCCCTACTGAATAATATCTCACTCGCCGTGTTTCAGTAAGTAAGGGCGCGGGAGCATATATTCAGAGCGCTCGGGCAAAAAACATATTTCGATTCAGAAATAATTAGATTGACGGAACGTACTTTAGGTCTCTCTAGCTGTCACTCAGACACTGCGAGTCGCCGCATGTCGGCTGAAGAGGTGCTCCAGTCCATCATGGACTCGGACATTGATGACTGGAGCTGCGATAGTGAAGGCGATGACTCGGATGCGGACATAGCCGTCCGCGATCGTGACGGAACAAATTTTCCCGGACGAGTCCGCCGTGGTCGATGTCGTACCTACTGCCGTGGTCGCCTTGGACAGCCCTGAGGATATCGGAGATGTCGATGTCGAGTTTGAGCAGGACGCAGCAGCACAAGCTACGCCAGCGAGGGACAACAAGTGGGTTTGAGTTGATTCGACTAATTTGAAAAATAATCCTTTTATTCTTAAATGGCCCGGCCAACAGCGTACATCTGGCCTGGCACTGAAAGGAATAATATTATGTTTGTATATGTGTGTGTGTGTACACGTGTGTGTGCACATGCATGTGTGTGTACTGTGTATGTATGTTTGTATGTGGTTGTATGTGTGTGTGTGCGTGTGTGTGTGTGTGTGTGTGTGTGTGTGTGTGTGTGTGTGTGTGTGTGTGTGTGTGTGTGTGTGTGTGCGTGCGAGTATGCATGCGCATGCAAACATGTGGGTATGTGTGTGCACACTGGAAGATCTCTGCTTCGAGACAACTATTTCAGAATTTGGCAAAGCAATGATGTGTGGACAATTCATACCTCTGCTGTAGCCATGACTGCGACAACAAAAAAAGTCACGGACGTCAGTCACCATCTGTTGTACATGTACACACAATAAACCACACCAAAATAGACGTGGCACATCATGAGTGATGTAGAAATGGATAACATTCCGACAGGCGTTTTCAGCGGGTGCAGATTCCAAAGAAACCCTACAATTTTAAAGCGCTTTACACTTTTGTTTCAGTGGAGGCAAGGTTCCAAGAGTGTGCACTGAACATTGACAAGAGTGCATCACCCCCAAGAGTAGGCAGCTCACGCATACAGTGTTGTCCCAACAGAATTTCAAGTTGACGGCATTGTTATGATGCAATGCTCCTATAGAGTGAGTCATTTTACAGCGTTTGTACTGCTTGTCAACGCTTCACACCTGCTTCCGTGCGATATTGTGTACTAGCTGAGGATCAAATGGGGGTTTTCCCACCACAGATCCAGGATACGTCTGATAACAGGCGTACATTGCATCATAACTTTATGACGTCACCTTGAGGAATTTGGCGGCTCCGAACCAAGAGAACACACGTCCAGAGTACGAGAAGCATGTCGAGCCCTCCGCCCAGCAGATTTGCAAGGAAGCACCACTCCCTTTTCATTGCACAGTGTATCGGGGAGTCCGAACCAGGAGCTGAAAGCAGCACCAAGGCTCATTCCCTCGGATGGGTCATTGGACCATGCATGGTGAAATAGAAATGCGGAGCTGCTTTTGATTCGCGGTTCGCATTTCTTTGGCCACGACTGTACTGGTACTTCGAAGTGACAGTCCATAATAAGACCATTTATCAGCCTCTTAGTATTGAGTCGCATTGATTTTCGCTATACCTAAGCAGTCAAATATTCCTGCATGTTTCACTCCTTAGGGCTATATTGACTGCTTATATTTGACTGCTTAGGGGCCGTCCGTAAATATCGAACTTTTTTCACCAAACGAATTATTTTAGTTTAGACCCAGCCCCTCCGTCCCTCCCCCTCAGAACGTAAAAATGTTGACATACGTCATGCATATACTGTACAGCAAAAGTTGCAAGTGTGTCACTGCTCCAACCGCCATGTACACGTATCAATGTTTTCTGAAACGAAATTGGTCAACCCCCTCCCACCCCATAACGAAATTATTTCGTTTTGTGAAAAAAAGTTCGATAATTATGGATGACCCCTTATGGGTTGCGCAGTGGAACGGTGCCTAGTGCAGCATTGTTAGGGAGCATCTCATAAGTTCGCACTTTTTTGTAAACGTAACGCATTTCGAATAGACTTTACCCCCTACCTCCCCCCACTATTTGAAAGTCTTCTCGCACATTTTCAGTGTAGATCTACTGTACTGTACATGTCCATGCCATGGTATGCACTGAATCATGTACAATGTTCATGTACATGGACATGAATGTTTTGCTAGTGTTGAAGTGAATGACATACAGTAGTACCGCATCTACTGAGTACAAGTAAGTAACATACTTAGTTCAATAAATGACATGTACACGCACATAAACAGAGTTCCTCCACGACTGTACTGTCAAAGCTGGCCAGGTACACGTTTGATCAGGCTGGTGTGACATTTGACACCTCTGAGTAGCCTGCATGCGTGTATTGTAGTGCAAGGGTTAGATCTACACCTAAAACACACCGGCGTAGGCCGTACCCTGCTGTCTGAAGCAGTCTAGCACATGCACAGCACTGTGTTGTACACATCCAGAAAATGTGCGAACTCTCATTTTTCTATCCGAAATGGGCGCTACCCCCTTACCCCTGTTTCGAAATGCGTTACGTTTAGAAACAAAATGCGAACTTATGAGATGCTCCCTTACTGTATGAATAGGTGATGGTGCAAAGGTTGTGCAATCATAAAACCGGGATTCATGAAGTTATCGTTCCGGAATTTGAAATACGCACTGTTTGTCGTGATAAATCTATTATTGACTTCGTACTTGGTCAGTATAGGAAATAAAAAAACCTCGGCTTTTATTTCCCATACTGACCTCGTACTCAGTCAATATTAGATACATATTCCACGCACGCCGTGCATAGAAACACTCTGACCAGTAGTCAACATTCTTCTGTATACGGAGTTCTGGTAAGACTTAAAATACAGGCACATGTATATGCACTATCACACACTGACAAGGTTTTACGGGATATCCCTAGATCCACAGTACGTAGATCTACCGTGTTTGGAGTTTCCGACGCCCTTCGGTGCAAACGACCGTGATTACGTGCCCGAATAAAAGACGATTGGGTGTAACCAGGCTATATATTATTTTCCATTTCGGCCAGTCGCCTACTAGTACTAGCAAGAGTATATAACACCCCAAGAGTGTGCAACTCCTGATACCCTTTCTATGGGGTTTGTCGACGGCGAAAACTCACATCACGTGGTGCAGTGTCGCAGTTGTACGTTTCCAGCCCGCTTTTAGCGAGCAGCGGAGTAATAAAAAAGCACTCTCTGACAGAAACTCACTGCGGGTATGCAAATCCCCAGCATGATCATGGCCGATATTCGGATTGCGCGCACGCTATCCTTTGTGTGTACGTAGTACGAACGTATCTGAAACACGTGATGTGAGTTTTCGCCGTCGGACACCCCATATGCAAAGTTGCACACTCTCGGGGTTTTTTTTAACTTATAATACTCTTGGTACGGTAAAACCTGTAACTAGAGACCACCGTGACTAGCGACTAGCCTGGTACTACCGACCACTTCGCCAGGCACGGACGGTCTCACATTCAAAATGCACTGTGACTAGCGACTACCTGCTGAACGCGACTAGCGACCGCTTTTTCTTGTCCCAAAGACGATTTTTGACCCGTAACTAGGGACCGCGATGTAGGGAATCAAAATTTATTTTGCTCGAAGCTCCTTCTTGAAATTTTGATGATTTTCCGTGGTCCTGAAAGGCATCTTTCGATACTACAGCTGAAGAAAAGAACGCAGGTCAATTTGACTGTGGAGTCGGTGTGGACTGCACTACACCTGTCAGAATTTCAAGCGCTGCCAAGAGTAAACATGATAGGAAACGTCTTGGAGAGCGCATCGAAAGCGCTCTCTGATCGATGTTACTACTCGGAGGAGAAACGAAGACTGAGCGGCTCTGTCACCCCAGTCATACAGACGAATCGACGATGGCATAAAGGAATCCAGAAACAAAGCAGCACCGCAAGGTCCTGATGCTGAAGGATCGCGTTCAAGCAATCGAGAAGTCGCAACAAGGACTGTCGGTACGATTGATCGCATGAGCAAATTTGAAGCCCAGCGCAAAACGAAACTTCCACAGGGAACGTTTGCCTCCTGGCTTCAGAAGTAGGAGCTGAATTTGATGTCCGCAAAAAAAATTAATCTTCTCTCTCTCTCTCTCTCTCTCTCTCTCTCTCTCCATCTCTCCGTCTTTCTCTCCAAGTGTTGTTTGACCTGAAATAAGAATGGCATTGCGCAATTCTTGGGGAATTGTATTAGCTGCATTTTGATATACATATCATATAATGGGATCCATATATGGTCGCTCGGTGCAAACCTCTAACTAAAGACCACCTGCTACTAAAGACCGCTTTTGCTGGCACCAAGGGGTGGTCGGTAGTCACAGGTTTTACTGTACTACAGTCGTCCCTCTCTAATCCGGCACCTTTTGCAACGGCATTTTCTGCTGGATAAACAAGGGTGCTGGATTATCAAATCCTGCCCTCCAACCCGGCCCACCTATTAACATACATGTTTGTGTCGTACGTCAAAACGTAGGGATTTTCTGTGTCAATCCAAGTACTTTGTGGAATGCATGTCTATAACATACACTTGCCGGGAATATCCTATGTACTGGCATAGCATACTCCCAAGTGTATGTTACATGTGTTGTGTATGTTACAATGCTCCCTGACGGTATGCGATGTACACCTGCTGGATTAGAAAATTGAATTATGTACAGTTTGAGTGATTTGCTGCAGAAAATCGCTGCTGGAGGCGGAATTCAAGTGCCGGATTAAAGCGTAGAAACTGAACTGAAAAAATCCGTTTTGCCAGAAAGTGTGCTGGTTTGCAAGGGTGCTGGATAAACAAGTGCCGGATTAGAGAGGGACGACTGTAGTATACTTCTTTGCTCGTCTTGGGGGTTAGACAAGGGGAAGTAGCCATGTAGGGGAGTGAGGCCAGCCTTTCGGCACCGGGAACTACAGCTGGCTCGACTCGCCTCTACTGAGTGAAGAGAACCCACACCTATTCACCTATTCGCCTATTCGCCTATTCACCTATTCACCTATTCACCTATTCACCTATTCACCTATCCACCTATTCACCTATTCACCTATCCACCTATTCACCTATCCACCTATTCACCTATCCACCTATCCACCTATTCACCTATTCACCTATTCACCTATTCACCTATTCACCTATCCACCTATTCACCTATTCACCTATTCACCTATTCACCTATTCACCTATTCACCTATCCACCTATCCACCTATCCACCTATCCACCTATTCACCTATTCACCTATTCACCTATCCACCTATTCACCTATTCACCTATTCACCTATCCACCTATTCACCTATCCACCTATTCACCTATTCACCTATCCACCTATTCACCTATTCACCTATTCACCTATTCACCTATTCACCTATTCACCTATTCACCTATCCACCTATTCACCTATTCACCTATTCACCTATTCACCTATTCACCTATTCACCTATTCACCTATTCACCTATCCACCTATTCACCTATTCACCTATTCACCTATTCACCTATTCACCTATTCACCTATTCACCTATTCACCTATTCACCTATCCACCTATTCACCTATCCACCTATTCACCTATTCACCTATTCACCTATTCACCTATTCACCTATTCACCTATTCACCTATTCACCTATTCACCTATCCACCTATCCACCTATTCACCTATCCACCTATTCACCTATTCACCTATTCACCTATTCACCTATTCACCGTGATTTACTGAATGTACTCGCAATCGCAGTACACAAGCAAAAATGGTCATTCAGGGCACACGATAACGGTCGGACATCGGACATTTTCCGACCATTTTCGATTCGAATCCGGTGCTTTTTTTCTGGAACGGACAATCTGTCCGATCGAAATTCACAAAATAGCGTCGCTGACTCGCTGGGAAAGAGAACGGCTGAGGACAATGGCGCTCTGCCTGGGAAGAAGTCTCACGAAGTCGGAGCAGCAACCTGTGACAACAGGGTTTTGCAGCAAGACAGGGAGCTGTCCACTTCAGTGTAGCTCCAGTTTGAGTGTAGCAAACGATCGAGGAGTTTTGAAATGAAATTTCTTCGCTTTCTCGCTACAATAGGAACTACGGTAAAAGCCATTATTCTAACGAGGCGCATATATAACGATTTCCCAAAATTGGCTAGTTTACGTGTAGCAAAGGTAACGATTCTCACTCATTCTCCATGCTCAATAGGACAGTATATGTATCGATTTCTGTATAACGATTTCTATTCATAGCCAGCAATCGCATGTCATCTCGTACATTGAAAATCAACATAATTTTGCGAATCGACTTTTTTTCAGGATCACTTTTCAACGAGGACGAAGCAAAGTCGGCCGAACGAAGCCTAGAGGAAGAAAATCACCCTCTCCACTTCACCATCACGATACTGACATAGATACGAGATGAAACAACCAAAAAATTCACAAGAAAACTGTACGACCATCATCGCGTTGACTTTGGTCTGACTTTGGTCTGAGAATTTCTATCACGATCAAAAATGTACGAGGAGCACTCAAAAATCAGCCACAGACGTACCTTTATCGCTCTCTACTCCTTTTTCAAGGCACAAAAGTCGACTCTCCACTTTCAAACCAGGAACCAGACATACCAGTGGTCCTTTTCAGCTGCTCCACGAGCGCAGGAAATGTTCACCAAGGGGCGCAATCATCGCGTTGACTTTGGTCTGACTTTGGTCTGAGAATTTCTATCACGATCAAAAATGTACGAGGAGCACTCAAAAATCAGCCACAGACGTACCTTTATCGCTCTCTACTCCTTTTTCAAGGCACGAAAGTCGACTCTCCACTTTCAAACCAGGAACCAGACATACCAGTGGTCCTTTTCAGCTGCTCCACGAGCGCAGGAAATGTTCACCAAGGGGCGCAGAGCAGCATCCATTCCAGAAAAATAGCTAAAATACGAGTGAGACTGCATGCCTGAGTACATGAGTACATGTATGAGTACATGCAGAAAATAGTCAATTTCAGCGTTTCTGCTCCAAACAGCAACTAGCTTCGACTAGAAACAAAGATTACACCAAAGGATCAAACAACAACCATTTTCTGCAGTTTTTTTGCAGATGGCTTCCTTGTGCTTGGCCCAGCACGCCAAAAATCACACCTCGGAGGAGTACAAAAATTACAACTCTCAGATGTCCTTGATTGCTGGCCATGTTAACGACAGATTGCTCCTCGTTAACTCGTTAGAATTAGCACTTCGTTATATACATGGCTTATACAGTATTCCGCGAGGCGCTTGTACAATCCGAAATATTGAAAAACGTCCCTGTTCCAGGGAAACAAGGCGTCAGAAATGTGTGCCAGCTTGCGATATGCCTCTATCGAAAGAAGCAGTCTTCTGCAAATCCAGTCAAGGACGCTCCTGTTGCACAGGCGCTGTGCAAGATCGACGGAGCAGCAGCAGCGAAATAAGTCAGAAATTCAACGTCGCGTAGAAACTACGTGCTGTTCAAAGAGCACATCGCGTTTGCAAAGATGGGAGCCTTCAGCCGACTCGAGTAGTGACATGTTGTCGATCTTGGAGCTGGCAACAAGAAGTTAGAATGGGCAAGCAGATGCCCACTTTGTCTTTTGTCGACTGCGTAAAAATGAATGTCTTTGATCTGCCGCTGAAAAACCAGGTCAAATCCGAAATGTGCAGAAACACTGCACACTCATATCACAGTTACTATGCTTGCTGAAAAACGCACAGCGATTTGAATCAGAGTTACAATACCTGAGATCAGTGTGATGATCATCCTTGATGTGACCAGCAATACGGTATACCGCAGTGTGATGTAGCATAAACCGGTACATGCATGTGTGCATTAATTATGCAGTGGCGTCGTGTGTGAAATTGGTGAAGACAATAATTATTTTTTTATTACGAGTGCTGAGTATCAGCCTTGTAAAAAAATTACAGTGTCCGGCCATGTCCCACCGGTTCCAGAAGTGGCAGGACATTGTGTCAGAGCAATTTCGAAATCTGATCGTGTCCCCTGGTCATTGAGTTGTTGAGACGATCCAAGTAGCATGACTCCCCATGAGCCATGCATACCGATTAACATACGCTTCAGCGCACCCGAAACCGCACTCCGCATCATAGCACACTCGCTGTAGCACCTACTATATCAGCATCAATGTTAGGGGCACACGGGTTTGTGGCGCCGAGATTTTCCGCCTATTTTGTGACAGCTTATCTTTACCCAGCGCCGGAAAGTATAAGCCTTTGCCAATACAGCGCCAAGAATGGTTAGCGCTGCATATCTCAGCGCGAGTTGTGGTTAGCGCTTGATACCTCAGCGCCAAGTAGAAATAAGCAAAAATACTTGTCATAGACGCCAAGAGGTCATCATGAATTCGAATCTCTGAATCTTGGAATCATGGAATTCATTACTTTCACAAATTGTCGTGGAAAATAAGCATTCAGCCTTGGTGGCTACTAGGCCTCCGCGGAATATGCTCGTATTTTTACCGATAATTCTTTTGAGCATTGCTCAAAATTTCGACCGATTATTCCCGTAATTCCACCAATAATTCTCACAATAATTCTTTTTTTCTTCCCTTTTTTTGCAGATACCGTGCCGCGTACGGGGTTTTTGCCACTTGTACGGGCAAAAAAATCACGGTTCGCGTGAAACTCGGCTGGAAGCTTTTTTTTCTTTCTTTTTTGAAATACCGGGCGATCAACTTCAGGATCATGAGCTTTTTGGTACAAATCAGGGTATTATAAATGGAAAAAAATGAAAAAAAGGGGAGCATTGCTCAAATTTTACCGATTATTCCACAAAAATTGCCAATAATTCCCGTTTTAAAAATCACACCGATAATTCCCGAAATTATGCCGGCACATTCCGCGGAGGCCTAGTGGCTACTGCTACCGACAGGACAAGCGCACTCGAGATGGACGGTTGTTGTGGTGGTGCAGGGAAGAAACTTGCTGCGCTAGAAGAGAAAGCGAAGGTTTTGAGGATTTTCCTATCCCTCGCAGACACGCCGAACATTGTCATGCTCCAAGGAGGGAAAAGGGCCTCCAAATAAGCTGCATTTCAACAATGAAAGAACAAGCAACGACAACGACCGAACCGATTCCGCAAATTTACTTTACTGTCGCCGGAGGACTCCACGACATGGATGCCCTGGCACCATCCACGCTACCGTCGGAAGCATCTCTATTTGCGTCACTTTACCGTTCGCGTCGAGCTGTTTACCCATCTCTACCGAGAACTTTGCGTTCAGTGTATTCTATTTTCACATTAATCAACTTTTTTTGACGCTGAAAAGAATAATGCGGTGCATTGTTGGCGCTGAGGTGAGCCATGCGACACTTCGCCGGCGCTCATGTGATTGAGGCTGCATTTTGTTGGCGCCACGATGCGTTCGCTGGATGACACTGTGCGTATCCATTGCCTGTGGAAATGGCACAGGCGAATGATTTTTTCGCGTAACAGGGTAAGCTTCAAAATTGAAGACTGTAACGGGTTCGCTGCGGCGATGTGAATTCTGCATACCCGTTACCGGTGCTCTGCGGCCACTTCAGGAAACGAGAACGAACAACAATCCCCAAGAACCGAACAACACTGGCCAACCACTTACCCAGAATCACTGGAACACCATGACAAACGGGGACGATGAACGTCCAGCGGCGAGCGCTCCTGCAGCCAGGAGTCACGGTTTGCTTGAATCCTGGACACGACTTTGAACGTCGTGGGCGGATAGGCTGCACCGGTTCTCGAAGTCGTGACGGTATGGAGCAGTCGAATGGAGCCTCCGAGCCACTAGGAAACTTCGATGAAACCCTATGGCCAACACACAGATTTTTACACAGCCTGCACCGAAACAAACTTCGACACGAAGCAGCAGACCGCCAAACTAACACCACCTCGCTGCCTACAAGTACAACAACTCGTCTACAAGCTGCCTGGCTGTAGCATGAAAAACTGAAGAAACTAACTTACAGCTAGCGCTGCAGTGAAATTTCACCACGAAGCTCCGGTGCGGAAATGGTACCGCGGGCTCGTTTCGCCGGCCGAGGCGATCGGAAGCTACCGCGCGCAGCAGCAACAGCATGCATCTAGCAGCAGTGAGGGTGGCCCGGGTCCGCGTCCGTGTCACGTTTTGTGGATGACATGCCTGTATAGTATAGTGTATAACGGTCATACAACCTCTGTCCGCAGAACTGCATGTCCAGACAGTCATGTTGAGGTTGGGGTTACCTGGTTACCTGGTTGTGTTTATTTGAATTCGCAAACCGAACGGATTGAACATGTCCAATGACAAGGAAGCGAATGAGGTCCAAGTAACCCAGGCATATGGGAAACTACTTGGAAAGGAGACCCAGACGAAAACTAGGACGGGAAAATATGTCAGCACTCGCTGTCACTTGTCAGTGTCAGACTGCCAGTGGCAGTGGTGCACCATGCAATAATTATGACATATTGACATAATTATTAATTATTAATTATTACTGTACTGGCAGATGACATCCGATGCAATGGCCATATGGGCGCTTTGGATTACACGCATTTCGGTCAATTCTAGAATAATATTAGTTATTGTTGATGTACAGTTCGATTACACAAAAAGTGACAAATTCCGTCGTTAGAATTGATTTTATCCAATTCCGTCGAATCCGTCAATTCTGAAGAGAGGGCGGAATTTCTCTAATTCTGGCGCCAGAATTGTACAGTCGGTGTGTTACCGGTCTGGTCATGACCATGATGACTCAAGGCGTCAAGCGCGCGAAGAACCTCCCGGCCTGGCCGGCGTGTGCGCGATGCTGGGTCCACGTGCGGCGTGCGCGCGAGGGTGTACGTGATCTCTTTTTACGATTCATCAATTTTGTTTGTGACATGACATGAATATAATGCGCTGCCAGTGGTTCGTTTACAACTTACAAGGCCGGAATCCGCTCATTCTGGTCATTCCAGAATTTAAAAAACCAGTTCCAGAATTGTGTAAACGTGTAATCGAAAGCGCCCATTGTACTACTCCCTGGTTTTGATGCAGTGATACAAAAAAGAAGCAGTACAATGCAATGCCTGTTACATATCGCCATCGCTTAGCAGAGCACGCTCTCCATCGCTAAGGCTGTGTTTACATGAGAAATTTCAACCCGGGTCGAGTTCACCCCGGGTTGAAAGTCTGTACGATAGACAAAATAGCATGATGAAGACATGAAAAGGCGACGAGGAGACAATAACTTTATTATAACAATAAAAACTGCTTTATGGCAGTTTTCTAAAAAAAGTTATTGTGTTCTAGTCCATGGACCTCGTCTAAAAAGTAAGAAATTAACGAAATGTGATAGCCGAAAATTAAAATTTCACACAAAACCTCACAATAATCACGACACTTGAAGATCTAATAGTACGGCTTTCAACACTTGTTTATTCCGACACTTGTACTTGTACAAGTACATGTACTGCGCCAACATGCTTGCATATGAAAGAGGACCACGAGGGGAAAAGGTCGTCTCGCATCCTGTGTGTGATTATTGTGAGGTTTTGTGTGAAATTTTAATTTTCGGCTATCACATTTCGTTAATTTCTTACTTTTTAGACGAGGTCCATGGACTAGAACACAATAACTTTTTTTAGAAAACTGCCATAAAGCAGTTTTTATTGTTATAATTTCTTTTTCTTTTTTTTGCTAAAGGATATAATTGTGTAACCAATGGAATGCCCTAATGATGGCCTACATGTAGCGCCTCTGCAGGGGAATCATATGGGTCGTGGCGGTGATACTTTTTTTATACGCAAGTCATTCTGTGGATTTTGCCGAATTTCATGACTGTCATAAAATTGTCTTGTCTTTCAGAAAATTCAGATGTCCACACCCTAAATCACATTTACTTGAGAATTGTAACCAGGTGTGTGCCGCAGATGTTTTTGTTGATTCTGTGTTTATAATTGTAGTCATGGGTTGTCGTGATAAGGTCATCCGGCATCATATTGTAGTGAAATCGTAATCCTGTTGATGTCGATAACACTTTTGGAAGCAGTTCAGTGTCCACGATTGTCTAAAACAACACAGCAAAGTAGGAACAATAAACATGCATTAAAATGTAAGCAAATACATCGCTGAGTCCGACACCTCGTTCCAACAACTACACTGATCCTGAGGATATAAGGGGCAAGGATATATATTATGGTTTTAGGTACTGAGAGATAAACAAGGCATTCCATAATAGTAAAATGTTACACGACTTCGGGGGAGTATGAATGATATCTAGTCAAACCTCTTTAGGACGAACATCAAGGGACCGATGGCATTTGCTCTGTGAGTTTGTGTTAACCCTATTTTATAACGAGTGAAAACAATTATTTCTCCAATAGAGACACGAATAGATTTCTTCTACAGCGAAAGATTCTAAGCCGGACCAAACCATTGACTCGTCTTTTATGAAACAAATGAGTCACTGAACCTTTCTTTAGCAACATGACGGCAACTGAAACAACAACAGAGAAAATACGATACATGTATAGCACATTCTTGCAGGTACTACAAACAGATTGCAGATCGTAATTCTTGCTCTACCGGCACGCAACTTTATTTGGGGCAGTGCAATCTCGGCGCTACTCACAAATCAAACAGCCCAGACTCGAGTAAACAGATCCAATCGTACGAGATTTTCACGAGACGAGACTGCACCCATTAGCTTGTTTCGTATGAAGCAAACAAGTCACTGAATGCATGAACCTCTCCATAATGGAGATTTTCCCTGATATGCAAATTTATTTTGCATACTAGTACTCGGCCAATGCGTCTTTGAACCTTTCCCTCCAGATTGGGAACTGCCAACGATGCTATGCCACTGCAAAATTCAGATTCTACCCTATGATCGGAGCACGGAATGCCGGAAGCAATCATGACCAGTGCCTTACTTGTAAGTTGTAACGCACCAATGTACAATGAACATGAGTATTTCGACAACACATCTATTTAAAGCCTCAGCAGCAACATAAGCCTTACGGTCAAGAAGGTGAACTCACGTTCTTCGCACACTGTTGGGAATGGCAAGGTGAAACGAATGGATCTAAATCCGAATAAAATCAGCACACGTTTCCGTAAATGAAAGGGTGAGCATAAGCAAATGAATCGAAGGAAGCTGGTCAACTCAGAGATCACCTGTCATTGAGTATTCCGTAAAAGGAGGCCTCGACAGCAGAAAAGCTAAATTTAGAAAAGAGATCCTGTCAGCTTTTCCATTATTAATTTTATTGTATTCCACCTTAAATCAGCACACTTTTCGTAAATGAAAGAGTCAACACAAGCAAATGAATCAAAGGGAACTGGTCAACTCACCTGTCATTGAGTAATATTCCGTGAAAAGAGGTCTCAGCAGAGCCGAAGCGAAATAAGCCAGGACACGAAATATCCGAAACAGCTCATGCAAGAAGCAGTTCCAAAGAAGGAAGTTCCTCGCGCATGCACATCCGAAAACGGACTGCACGTGCACTGCATGCAACACAATGTCTGCCGTGCACGTGCACAGCACGCGGCTACCACGCGTTAGTAGATCTAATAGAGAGGTACGTAGGTTTCGCTTCACGTTGTTCTGCACTACACCGTGAAATTTCACGTCGGTGTGGCAAATTTTGGCGTCGAAACTCCCGTTCATGACGTGAGCTGAGGTCAACTCACGTTCGACGTGAACGCGAGTTTTTGCAAATTTAGCCTTGCTATCAGGTTGGGATTATTGACTCGATTTGTCGATTTTGCCTAAACTAGCTATAAATAATATTTGTGCGACTTCGGCCTCACCAAAAATCACTTTTTTCACTTCTTGAAGTTTTCGCACCCAGTTTTCGCTCCCGTCGTCAGCGACACGACGTGCTTCACAAGCAACGTGAAACGAAAGCTCTTTCTGAGCTCGCGTCGACGCAAAACATTGACGTTCACGTAAGAGCACAAATCACGCGGGTCGAAACCTCTCTAATACCGAGCACCTTACGTAGAAACTTACGTAGCCTAAGTGAAGTACCGTAACGTAGAAACTTACGTAGCATAGCGGTGTCGTTTTTTCTGCCATGTGAACACAATAATAGAAAAGCTGACAGGATCGCTTTTCTAAATTAAAGGGGAAGTTAAGGCAAAAATTAAAATTTCACCAGTTGTAGTCTTCGGGGTGCTGAGTCGAATGGTCTTGGTCCAAGAAAGCTGAGACGCTCCCTTCCTACTTGAATCCCAATCGAACTCGCGCACTTCCACCGAAACTGGGTGACTGCGCCCTACTAGATGGGGATTTGTATGCAAAATGTCACTAAAAGCGCCGTTTCGTTCTTATAAAAGCACGGATGACCGCGATTGGCCCATATGTTGTAGTCTTTTGGACGCTGCGTCGACTGGTTTTGGTCCGAAAAGGCTGCGATGCAGCGTTCCTCCTTTATTCCCAATCGAACATGGTTGAACAAGCGGTCACGTGCTCCTGCGTACACCAGTCAGCTGGTCACCGTGCCTGCAGGGTACAACTTACTAGCCTGTTTGACCTTTTTTGGGTGCAGTCCTGTCACTCGAGTTGAACCTTGGTGTGAAAGTTGTCGCCTGCTGGCGTGGTGACCAGGTGATTTGGGCACCCAGGAGCACGTGACCGCTTGTTCAACCATGTTCGATTGGGAATAAAGGAGGAACGCTGCATCGCAGCCTTTTCGGACCAAAACCAGTCGACTCAGCGTCCAAAAGACTACAACATATGGGCCAATCGCGGTCATCCGTGCTTTTATAAGAACGAAATGGCGCTTTTAGTGACATTTTGCATACAAATCCCCATCTAGTAGGGCACAGTCACCCAGTTTCGGTGGAAGTGCGCGAGTTCGATTGGGATTCAAGTAGGAAGGGAGCGTCTCAGCTTTCTCGGACCAAGACCATTCGACTCAGCACCCCGAAGACTACAACT